TCCTCGTCAGTCACTATGTGGACTGATTTGCTCTTTGATTTCTTCTTCTGAACGGGGGCAACTGCTACTGGTCTAGGCTGTTCTGGTTCAGTGATGGTTTGTGTGGAGATGCTGATGGCGCTTCTGGCTTTTTCCTCCTCTGTGGCAGTCTGCATAGACACTGACACTGTTGCTTTGCTTTTGGCTTTTTCCTCCTCTGTGGCAGTCTGCATAGACACGGACACTGTTGCTTTTTGTTTGGTTCTTCTCCTCTTTGTGACATTCTGTGCAGACGTGGACGAAGTTGATTTGTTTCTTTTTTCCTCTTCCTCAAGAATACGCAGCAATGCACCATGTAGTGTTTTGTTTCTAAGCATGTTGTAGGCTGTGCAGAGGAGACAAAGCAGAACTAACAACAATATTATGCTGTCCTTAGCATCCAGCAGGAATTCAACATTTCCAAAAACTACTGTATCAGGCCGGAAAGATTGGAAAAAATAATTATTTACCCCTCCCCCCAAGTGCTGGGTGTGATTGGTAAAACCCCGGATGTAGCAACCTAGACTAGGACAAGCAAACAAAGTCGAGTATATATTCCAAATTATGTTCATTGCCTCAGAGGTTATCATGCAGTAGACATAATAGGCCAATAAAGCAACTTTTATACCATATCCTGGTCTACATAGGAGCATTACAGCTGGCAGATAGTTCCCCATGTGCAGAAAAATATAGAGAGCAAGATAAAAAACCCATGTAAGCATGTTGAGAATCATGGTGAATACAAAATTGTAATACTGACTTTTCTCAGTACCCTTCTTGCCCCACGTTGGGCGCCAATAAATGTGTTGGTTTGAAAGCAAAACCAGTGCGAGACTCCAAGTCAGTAATACAATTTAATAGGAGAAAAGAGAAAAAAAATAAAATACATGCAATAATATAAAAGAAAAACCACCGACAAAGTCAGAAATACAACCTGACATCCTGTCAGTCAGGGTGTTGGTAGCAGTCCGTATAAATGGTGGCTGCAGTCCTCCTGGATGACAGATGGGGTTCAGGTGAAGCAGTGCTCCTGTAGAAGGTGTAGTTTTCCTCCAAAGATCCAGTGATGATGTGGAAAAGGTCCGACTTCCCTCTGGGATCCAGTGGAAAGGGCTGCCTTCGCGTCCCAAATCCCAGTTTTTTATCTAGGTAGGAAAGGCTTGGCTCCTGCCCCTGGTTGGAGCATCTTCCAATGGGATGATGTAATCTTATCAGTCACACAATAGGACTTAATGGCCATTAACAGAATATATCTTCTGGAGGAAGGATGGGTTGTGAAAAGATAACGATGATCATCCCCCTGATTTTATCAGATGGCACATCAGCAGAGGATATCTCCCACAGAGATAAGGATCACCACTCCTCCCACATTTTAACAGATGGTGATAGAATACACATTTTTGCATTGTACCCCAGGACACACATGAAACATTGGAACTATGTTTTCCTTCCCATGAAAAAGCATTGGCATTCTCATAGGAATTTACCAGGTAAAAGTTACATACAATCTCCAGTACTGCATATGTCCATCAATTGCTCCTACACAGATGGGGCCAGCACAGAAATATCTCGCTAGATTATTCCTCCCCATGCTATCTTAACATCTGCTCCAGCAATACTAGCATCATGTCCTTTTCTTCCCGAGGAAAGATGCACCGAGTCACTTGGCCTTGCCTTGCCTACCACTCCTTACCTCGCCTTCCATGTGCATGCAAAACACTGCAAATCAAGTGTAGACAATTGTAGGCAAGTCAAGAGAGAGGTAAGCAAGGTCAGAGAAGTAAGGGGAAAGCAAATGGTGTGGTAGATGAGAGAAGGAATGGAAGAAGCAAATAGAGTGGTAGGTGAGAGCATAGTCTGCTGCCCTGTCCCGGTGGCAGCCTGAGCCCAGTCCAGAGAGTTCCTGCAGTGGCAGGAACTCAGCAGATGCAGTGCCAGATCTGGAGCCCACAGGACACACCTGCCGATTGTGGGGCAGCGGTGCAGATGGAATGTCCTGCAGCCGCCATACAACACTCATCCTTCTCCCCCTCCTCCTCTCCCAGCATGGCACAGGAACTGTTCCTTCAGGTCCTGGAGGCCGTGTGGCACTGCATCAGCTGCGAGGACCTACACAGGGACATCCAACCAGAGAACACCTTTTTTGTCCTGGCCAGTGGTCAGGCAAAATTGATTGACTTCGGCTGTGGGCAGCTACCTGCAAGACACAGCCTACACTGCTTTACAGGTGAGCCTATGCAGGGCTATGCTCTCAGTGCCAGCATCTCATGGCCCAACATCCCAGGGTCTAATCTGGGTGTTGTAGGGACACATATTGAGAAAGCAAGAAAATTACAGCTTGAAAAATATTCCAGGCCGGAGCTTTTCAGCTCTGTTCCCAGCTGATAAGCTGGTCCAGCTCAAGGCTAAGGAGAATTTCTCTCAGGGTGATCACTTGGTCAAAATAAAAAGGAATTAATAAAACAGATAGAACACCTGTTGTGGTGCATGACCAGGCCCTGGGTGTCTTCTCTCTGAACCAATCATCTTTTTTCTACTCTTGGAATTGCGAGTCATGCTATAAAACCAAGTGTGTTCCTGAATAAACTTGTCTCTTCCTTTCCTATCATGAAAGATGACCATGTAGCTGTGCATTTTATTTCCACTGCACTTAAAGGGTTAAAACCCCTTTCCACAGCTACAGGGTGTGGCATGGAGATTCTCCCTTTTGCTGCCAGTCTACTGGACTGAGTCTTCAGCCCAGTTGCTTTTGAGCTGGGATGAGTGGGGGGCCAGCTTCCAGCCCTGCTGGTGGCCTTTGCCAGCCACTCTGCCCAGGACTGGGGCTGGGCAGCCAGCCTGACAAAAGCACCCATGGGTGGGGGTAGCAGAGATGGGAGGCCAGAACCAGGGCACCAGCAAATTTGCTGTGCAGGCGAGAAAGGGCTTGGACTGCTCTGCTCACTTTGTTTGCCTTGGCTTCATAATTTTTTGGGAGGGCAATGCAGGCAGGGAGGATGAAGGCATGCTTTTCCCCCACACCTGAATGGGTTTTTCTTTTGCATGTAATGGTTGGGCCTTGGCAGGGGTTCGGCTGCACCCTTCCAACACCAGTGGCTTCTTTTCCAATCCCAAGTTTGTACACAAGTCCCAGGTGCTACTGAGAGGGCAGTGGGTCACACCGCGTTCCACTGGGACAGCTCCCACATGCCCAGGGATGCTGGGGCCAGGCTCTGAGACCAGAAGCCCCCCAATGAACTCCATCTTTATTTCATAGGAACACCATCATACAGCCCCCTGGAATGGACCCACTGTGGCTGGTACTCATGGCAAGGCAGCTACCATCTGGTCCTTGGGCATCCTGCTGCACCAGATGGTCTGTGGGGAGCACCCTCTCAGGAGGGGCCGGAGCATCAGCTGGAGTGATCAGCTCTCACTCTCACAAGGGCTTTCTCAAGGTGATCCTGATCTCTGCCGCATGGGGGGAATACCAGTGTTGGGAGATGGCAGTAGGCTCATGAGCATCCCACTCTGAGAGCTGCTGAGGAGGTGGCACATGTCCTGCTCTCCTGCTCTTCTCCAAAACAAAGAATTGATGGGAAAGTTTAGGCACAGCACTGAGCACATGCAGCATGGCCTGGGTATGGGAATATTGGGGCAAAGCAGACAGGCTTCCCCAACTGTTCTGGTTTCTGGTTTCTTTCCCCAGAGTGCCAAGATCTGATCATCAGGTGGTGTTTATCCATGCACGACTTGGACAGGTCCTCATTAGAAGACCTGTTCTATGATCCTTGAATGCAGGATATTCATCTGCCATAGAAGAAGGGAGAGAGCCACATGCACACTTTGATCCAGGGACCTGGTAAGTTATAGCTCCACACATGCCTTGGCAATAAGGAACCCAGACTTTTTTGTCATGCCTGCGTCACTGCACAGGGGTCATCAGATGGGAACACGCAGCTCTTGTGGTGGAGCTGAGCTGGTCTGCCCAGCACTGGTGGCCATCATACAAGCTGGTTTTGCTTGTTTTGGTTCACTGACAGCTGGGGCCCTGTGCAGAACACTGACAGCCTGGTCCCACCCCCAGGGAAGAAGGAGCCCCTGGAGAAGCTGTACCAGGTGGGGCTGCTGATGCTGGAGACAGTGAGGATGACATCAAGGATAACGACCTCTTCTTTGACTTGGACACCAGAAAGTTGAAGATAATGGACTTCATTACTGGCAGCTTCTTCAAAGCCAGGCTCCACAGTGAATTTGCAGTTGAGTCCAGAGTCACAGGGATGCTCCCAGATTTGGGCATTGCACAGCCTGGCTGGGAACCTTTGCTGGGGCGAATTCTTCAGTCAGCTGCCAAGCTGCTTTTTGGCAGGGCTAGGAGGATGGGCTGGGGTGGTTATGAAATGGGAGTCGGCTCCTGGTCCTGCCAACAGTTTCTACCATCCACTATGCCACGGGCTGGGGCTGGAGCAGCCAGCCCGACCAAACAAGCCCTCATAGCAGGAGCAGAGGTGGGACTCCAGAACCTGTGCACAGCTGCTTTGCTTTGCAGGCAAGGAAGGGCTTGGGCTGCTCCACTTCCCTTGTTTGCTTTGGGATCACCATTACTTTTGGGGGGCAGTGCAGAGGGGAAGGGAGAAAGCATCGGCTTCCCTCATCCATGGGTGGATTTTTCCCTAGCATGTAGTGGTTGGGGCTTTCCTCAAGCCCCTGACAGAGATAAGATTTTTGACCTTTTTTCTTGTTTCCCCTTTTTGTCAGTAATCTATTTTCAATAATTTGTTTTTCTAAAGGAAGTGTTCTAGGTGATATCCAGTCTGGATTGGGAAGTGCTTGACAGTGGCATGGATGGGCTTGGAGAAGGCTGAGGACATCGTTTGGGACTAGCTATTCTTCCAGAGGCAGATGGCATGAGGTGGGTCCCTGTCTTCTTGGCATGGATGGGATAAGGACTTTTGGGAGATGGCAGCGAGCACAGGAGCATCCTGCTCTGGGCAGCTGCTGAGAAGCAGGCTGGCTGCAGGTGGTGACACATGTCCTATCCTCCTGCTCTCCTGCCAAAGGCAGCAATGATTGGGCATCACTGATCACAGACAGCATGGTCGAAGCACCACGGGTGGCTGGGACAAGGGGGACAGGAGCCTTCAACTGATGGGCGGTTTCTGGTTTCTCTCCTTGCAGCCGGGCTCTGTGGATGCTGAGGCTGCTCTGGGCTCTGCCAGGGCTCTGCTGCAGCTCAGCACTGGGCTGCAATAAGCCAAAAAAGAAACTGTGTGACCTGCAGCAGAGACTTGCTTAAGCATTTTGGCAATGCAGCTCCAGTATGCAGAATGCACACCTCCAAGGGAAAACACGACATCTCCCCCAAAATAAACTTGTTCAATAACTTCTGAAATTAAATCATTCTGGGGTGACCCCATATAACATTTTTCAGCTTGCTCAAGCTGCAGCTCAGCCCTTCTCTGAACAGTTCTCTCTCCCACCTGCCTTTTACTTCACAAATGCTCCCTGTTTTCCTCCAGTGAGTTCCCAGCCCATCAGTCTCCATCACACCTTCCTTCATGTCCCTCACCACAAGGAAGGCCAAGCCTTAGGTTTAGGGACTCATCCTGTAACTGGCTGAAGAGCAGCAATGTCTCAGAGGTCTAGTGGGATTTTAGTGTAATTCAGACCTGCTCTTCAGCCCTCAGCCTGCTCTCCAGCCCAAAGCTCTCCTTACTGCTGAGTTCCCACTCTCTTTTCCTTGTCCTTCCAGCAGGATGAGCTCTGCGACTCCCCTTTATCCTCCCCGCTCTTCCCAGCCCACCCACCCACCTCAGTTAGGCTTAAGCTGAAGCTTCGTCTTCTCTGGCACATCAGTCCAATCCTCTCTGCGGGGAGCACCAGCCCCAGAGCACAGCACACAACAGCGCAGTCTGGACCTGGACCAGCTCCCCTCCACCCATGACTTGGCTGTTTCTGGCAACTAAATGCTCCCTGTTTCCAGCTGTCACTGCAGGATGGCCCCAGGGCACAGCCCAGCCACAATCCCATTGCACCCCCTGAAGCTTGAGGCAGACAGTGCTCCCAGAGCTGAGGTTAATGGTGCGCACCCAGAGCTGTGGCTTGCAGTCAGTGCTTGCAATTGTTGTATTCTCATCTCCAGCAACTTGTGGAGAAAACAACCTGTGCTGCTAGGCCAGCACTGCCCCTCTGGGCAGGGACAAGGCTGAAGGGCTTTCCTATTGCAGAGGAATCAGCATTGAGCTTTAGAAGGGCCTGGCAGGTGTGGAGCTGGATCTCGCCTGCTGTCCAGGACTTGGAGCCCACCAACTGCCCCCACTTGCCATGCTCCGTTCTGTAGGGATAGAACCCTGTACAAGGGTTTTCATAATGTTGTTGTACCCATGGGTATGGAACGAACACAGAGAGTCAAAGTGCCAGTCATGTTGGTTGCACACGCCTTCCTTTGTATACAAGACACATCTATATACACCCCTTCGTATAAATATATTAAAAGCATAAGGATGGGTAGATATTTCCCACCGAGCTCTAACTTTGGCATAACTCACCTTGCAAGCCAGCAGCCAGGGAATTTTTTTCCCAATTCTATGTGAGTAGGTGTCTGAGAGCTGAAGCAAGCAGCATTTAGAAGCAGTTTCAGGATTTCTAGGCAGGAAGTGGGGCTGACAACCATCTGTTTAATTTGCTGTAGTCATCGGGATGGGCTGCTGGCTCTTAGGAACACAGCACAATGGAGATACGAGACTTGGAAAAATCATAGCTCTCTGTGGATTTGTGCAAAATGTGGAGCAGCAGAAACACTTTGTGTCTTTGTGCAGACACAAGGTCCAAGGAGCTGGGGTGGCAGAGGGTGACCCAGGCTGGCAGCAGGTCAAGTCCTGAGTCATGACAGCATAGAGTGGCACAGGACAGAGCTAAAAGTATGCACAACCACACTGATTAAGACTTTCTGATGCTGCACATCCTATAGGAAAAGCTGCTGTCACACAGTCTATTGGAATTTATAACTTTTATTTGCAATACTTTAGGGGCAAGTTTCAAACTGCAATATTTTTACACTCAAGACACAGTCATGCACAATCCATATTTCAATTTCCTATTGCTTCAACCACAATTTAAAATAACTTAATATTGGAAACAAAACCCAAAATCTTTAAAAAAAGGATGCTGAGGTCAGTAAGATGGATCCATGCCATCAGCACATTTACAAAGTAAATAACTTAGCTATCTTTTTAAAAAGATCAGTTATCTCTTAATCCAAAGTTACAGAAGATTTTTCACTACACGTTTTTTCTTTCATATTTTTTCTGTTTTTTTTCTTTTTATTTTTTTTAACAGATAACACATCCTAAAAAAGGAATGTACAGCAAAATGAGATATGTTTCTGATAAACAATGAAAATGTAGGCTCCTTCTCTGTTTACTTTTGGATATCCTGAAGAAAAAAATCTAGCACATACCAGCAGAGATGTAAACTGGTTGTTGCTTTGGACTAAACTGGAGTTTAGCACTGGTGACATACTGATCCAGTAAAGAGTTGCAGAATTCTTCTGCAGATCTTGACTCATATGTTTGCAGGCACAGCACTTGCAGTGCTGACACACCAGTGCACGAGAGTAACTGTTAACATTTCCCCACAGAATTTGGGCTCTGCCCAAGAAGGAGGTGCCACAGTCCTTTGCTCCTTGTTCCCATGTGGAGCAGCTCCCTTCCCGCTGGCTGACTTGCTCACACTGAAGGGCTGAGGCCTTTCCCCTTTGCTGTGCTACAGACGGATTTAGCAGCACTGATTAACATGGGGATACATAGAGGGACCAAAAGCAGTTGCCTTTGTACAGCTTAAGCTCAAAGGTCAAAAATCTCAAGAGACGAGGATGGAAGAGATTCACAGGCTGTCTTTTTGCCGTGCTGACCCACTTGTGACTGGCACAGTTTGTGTGAGGCAGAGTCAGAAAAAGGGGCAGCTCCCTCCCACCCACGAGACCAAGGGGCCCATCCAGCCCCGGGGCTTGGGGCACTGTCAGCACCTGCTGCTTTGGCAAGCAGTTCAGCTGCCATTGAAAGCAACAACCAAATTCTCACTGACTCCAGAGAGAGCAGCAGTGCTTGAATTTGATCCCTAAGCCTGGGGCAGGGCTGGACACACACTGCGTGCAGCAGCAAATGGACCTTTCAAAACAACCCCCTGCCACTATTCCCTCCCATTTGCAGTAGTGTCACACCTGCCTGAGGCATTGGGGAGCTCTCAATGCACTGACTTCAGATGGCAGGCCCTGAGCTCCTGGAGGTTTTGCAAGAAATGGAGGTGGGGATTCCCTCCCCATATCAAGTTTCCAGATGGAAAAGGCTGCTGTGACCAGGCAACTCAAAGGACAGAGAAATTAGGGTCTTGACCATTTTATCTGTGCCAGTTACACAGTCTTGGGCAGCAGCCACTGTGCACAGGGGGAGCAAAGGGCACAGAAAGAGGGACAAAACTAGTCAAGTGCAGAGACTGGAAAGAGACCTGGGAGAAGTAACACGCTGTTTCATTTCACTCTTTAGGAAAGCTCTTTCCTGTTTCAAACCCCTGAGACATGAAGGGCAGAGAGGAGGTTACACATCAACAATAGTCATGTTTTCACACACTTGCCCTCTCAGTGTTATAGAAGAAATTGGATGAAATGTATTCTGCTCTCCGAGTTGTCTCGTTTAGCATGAGCAGCTCAGCACTAGGAGCTAAAGGAGCTGAAGCCATAGGCCACAAGAGCTGACCACGAGGAAACTGATCAAACTAAAGCTACTAACATAGACCTACCTGAATCCAGCAGATAGAATCAGAGAACTGCAGAATACTTTATGTTGGAAAAGATCTCTGGATACCCAGGTCGGAATCTGTTCTAGTGGTTGGCATCCATAAATCTGTAACACCAGGGAATTGTGATTCAAAGGTGTGTGCACATGTGTCTGACAGCTCTTCTGATCTGCATTCATGGCTGCCAACCCAGGCCATGGTGCTCAACCATACTTCTCTTGGCTCTGCACCTAAGTTGGGCAAGGCGAGTGTTGCTTGCAAGCCTCCAGCAGCTGTGAACATGGTGCCAGCAAACAGAGCAAAAGGTACCTTACACACAGGTGCTGAAGCTGATATGTGGTCTACTTGAAAACTGTGCAGGGTAAACCCACTGCGATCACAGGCTATTAAATCAATTAGCAGTTTTCACTATTTTCAACTTTAACTAATGGTATTGTCCCCAGTTTCCTCAGTCAGGGTCAGATTCTCGCAGAACTCAAGTGCTTGCCTGTGGGTGAATTGCTAAGCAGCAAGAACAAGGTTTGAAGGCTTGTGCCCATGTGGCAGCCCAGAGGGCACCCACGAAGAGCATATGGGCATCCCTCTTTACTATAAGACCACTTTTTCTTTTGAGATAGCTCTTGTAAATAAAGGTACATGCAACGGTTGGTAGGCTCAGGCCAGTAACGGTTTGCAGGCACAATGCACACCTAAGATTATGGCAATCAGCTCAAAACTGCATCCAAAGACAGACAGGAAAAGTGAGATTCTGTAAGTTTCAGTGAGAAAAATAATATTACCCTGTCAGCTCAAGGAGAGACACAAGGAAAGAGAAGTTTTAAAAATCCCTGAAGTGCAAATCATACTAAAAAAGCTTGGATGGTTTCTCTTGAAAGACAAAGACTATCCTTTGTCTGCTTCCTGAAAATGTGGGATAAAATTGGAGATGTTTACCTGGTATGGGCAGAGGAGAGGAAAAAACTCGAGATGAACACTTGTATTTATAGGTCCTCATCTACCCATCATTAAGTTGCTGCACATCTGGGCATGAATGAACAGTCCAAGAGGAAACAGGAACACGAGGAAGGTGTATGGACCACTGACTTGGCAGCACTTAGCAAGGCAAAGCTGGCACTAGAGTGCATGCCCTATGTGTCAAGCAAAGAAACACTGGCTCCTGCCTTTAATGGTAGATGTCACAGGGCTCTCTCTGGCTATTTGCTCACTGGATTTGCTCAGGACTGGACTAAGAAATATAAATATTTACATACTCAGTGTGAGGAACAGTCAGTAGCCACACCTAGGATTATATACTGGAAATAACTGCTATATGGACAATAGAGTACTGTGACATTTCCTACAATTAGAGGACAGGAGACAGGTACTTCCGTTCTTGTGGTGACTGGAATGTGCTTATTTTTTGGTGGCAGGACACAGGGAAGGACTGACTCAAAGACCTGCACAAGTGCAGCCACTGGTCTCAGAGAAACTCAGCACAAACCCTTGAGTTCTTTTGTCTGTAGTGGAGCAGCCAACCAGTAGCCAAAGACGAAGAATAAATACACATGTATTTACAAAAGCCCTGGACACAAGTGAGAATGTAACCTAGGCCCAAGTTTGGGATCAAACCCTGAGAACATTGTAAGATCCATCCCCATGCAGGTTCCAAGGAGTGCATGCAGGAGCTGTATGGAATTTTACATAGGTATGGTTATATTTTTTTCCTCTTTTCTTAAATAAATAAACTCTTCTGTGCTTCTCAAACTTCCCTGACTTTACTGCTACCGTGCTTCTGTCCCAAAACACATTAAAACCACAGTGAGCTATCAGCTCATTTTCGCACATCTTCATTGCAGGGATGGGAATTATAGTCAAGTTCTTGGATAGAGTATTTCACTGTTTAATTTAAAAATTAAGACAATTAACCAATCTTTTAAAACCTTGTAATAAAAGTGTCTGAAAGTTTTAGTTTTCATTTTGCAACAGAAACAGACTATTTCAAATACGTCAATAATATATATAACTAATTGCTTGATCTGAGGATAGCAGTCAGAAAAACCTGAGGTGACTCCAGAGATTTTACAGTATTTGTCTCTTTCCTTTCTGCAAGACCAATGCTATTGTCAATCCTAATACACTCTGTGAGTCTGTAAATAATGTACAAGACCTGACGACCCCCTCAGGACTGGATTTTTGTGGGTTTGTTTCATTGGGTTTTTAAAAAATACTTGTGTGTTTTCCACATTTAATATCCAGGCTGGGAGGACACAAACAGAGCTGCCATCTTCCAGTATTAGTGAGTGTGAGTCAGCACCAGAGACTGTCCCAAGCATGGAGCCACAGGGATACTGGAGCTACATTCCTTGCATGTCATACAGTCTCAGCTGGGGAAGTACACTCCATACTGAAAAATGCCACTGGCAGAGATTATTTCTGCTGAATCTTGTCTGCCTCCCAGAAATTTGTTTTAGAAGAAAAATCTTTAGATTTGCTGATGCAAAGAAAAGGGAATATAATATTTAATAAAATTAAAAGGCCTCTTAGGACAGGGGCTGTCTTAAAAAAAGTCAATGCCAAAAATATTCTGTATGCTGAGGCATACACTGATTAAGAAAAAAAAAAGCTACCATTTGTTTTCCTTATTTTCCATACCTGCTGCGTTCTGGGAAGTTGTCGTGGTGGGTTTTTTTTTAAAGTAGAGATGCTGAAATACTTAAAGGAAATAAATAGGAAATTCCCCCCTTCCCCAAACAAATAGAGTAGCTTGTCAACAGAAGTATTTAGACTGTATGTCCAGCAAACATATGCCATTACAAAGTGCTTTCCTTTTAAAGGACGGCTGTCTGTTCTTTTGCAGATAGGAAAAAATAAAAGATACACTGGAAAAAGAAACTGCCACTCATCTCTTCACTTCTTACAGGAATACAAACATGTTTCATCCTGATGAATGCTTTACACATTGAGGGCAACCCATCTCCAGCCCAAATTACTCTTTTGCAAAGAAGCTTCTCCTACAGACACAGATCTTGAGCTGACAGACAAAAATGGGACCTCACAAGAGAAACAAAATCTTCTAAACAGAACAGAATCATTCAGAATGATTCTAAATAGAATCATTCTAAACAGAATGTCTTCTAAACAGAACAGAATCATTCACCACCAAGTCTACCACTAAACCTGTCCCCAAGTGCCCCATCTTTTAAATCCCTCCAGAGATGATGATTCAACCACTGCCCTGCACAGCCTGTTCCAATGCTTGACCATCCTTTTGGTGAAGAGATTTTTCCTATATCCAATCTAAACCTTCCCTTGTGCAACTTGCAGCCATTTCTTCTCATCCCATTGCTTGTTATTTGGAAGAGACTGATTCCCCCATTGCTCTAACCTCTTTTCAGATAGTTGTATACTGCTGGCTCATGTTCAGCTGCTCTCAACCAGCACTCCCAGGTCTTTTCCCACCAGGCATTTTCCAGCCACTCTTTCTCCAGCCTGGAGCCGCATGGGGTTGCTGTGACCCAACTGCAGGATCTGACACTTCGCCTTGTTGAACCTCATAGAACTGGCCTTGGACTAGCATTCCAGCTTGTCCAGATCCTTCTGCAGAGCCCTCCTGTCCTCCAGCAGATCAAGATTCCAACCCAGCTTGGTGTTACCTGAGGGTGCTCTTGATCTCCTTATCCAGATCACTAATACAGATACCTAACACAACTGGCCCCAGTACTCAGTCCTGGTGCACCACTACTGACAGCCCCAGATGGATGTAACTCCATTGCCCATGACTCTGGGCCCAAGTCATCCATCCAGCTTTTTTTACCCAGAGAACAGTGTACCCATCGAAGCAATGAGCAGCCAGTTTCTCCTGGAGAAAGCTGTGGTAAACACTGACACAGGCTTTACTAAATTCCAGATAGACACATCCATAGCCTTTCCCCTCATGCCCTAGGCAAGTCATGCTGTTGTAAAAGGAGATCAGGCTGGTCACGCAGCACATGCCTATCACAAACCCACACTACCTGGGCTTGATCCTGTGGTTGTTCTGTATGTGCCATGTGATGGCACTCCAGATGATCTGCTCCATGACTTTTCCCAGCAATGAGGTCAGGTCTGTAGTTCCCAAGATCCTCCTTCCAGGTCTTTGTGTAGATCAATGTCACATGTGCCAATCACCTGGGATCTCCCCCTTAGCCAGGACTGCTGGTAAATGATGGAAAGGGGCTCAGTGAGCTTGAATACTCCTGTCCCTATTCATGTCCTGCTGCAGCTCTGGCCCAAAACGGAGGAGTTCCTCTCCCTGGGCACATGTCCTGCAGGTGTACTCATGCTGCTACCACCAGGACTGGCCTAAGAGTAGGGCACAGCCTGCTGCTGACACCTGGCTGGCAGCACAATCCCACCAGAGCTCTGTCTGGGCCGCTGCATGGGTTGTGGTGGGTGCAGAGCTTAGAGAAGGCTTTCTGTTGGGTGGACACCATTGCCCCCTGGCAGGGCTTCAAGCACCTTCCTGCAAACCCTTCTGCACCATCTGCTGTGCTATGGCCTGTTTGCCTGTCCTGACCACTCCCACTCCCCAAGGGCTTCTTTTATAGGGGGAAAGCTTGGCAGCCATTGCTCCAGGTCCTGTCAACCACTGTGACTTCAGATGTGGGTTCATGGTGGCTCCCTCAGCTCCTCCCAATGTTCCCCCAGTTCAGGAAACCAGAGCTGCTCGCCTCAGAATGTTATTTGGCCATCTGAAAAACTGGACCTGTTGTGCTCCCCAGGAAATGAAGAAATGTTAATTTCTGCTTAGCTATGGTAATTCAAGGAGGGTTGTCTCTGTGTGTTGCCTCTGCCAAGGACACTGATGGCCAGTGTGAGCAAGGGTAGCAGCAGTAAGGACACTTGCCATACAAAGACTGCAACTGAACAGAATGCCAAAGCTAGACATGCTCCTGGGCTGATTCGAAAACAGCCCAAGCATCTTTCATTCCTACTAGCCAGACATGAAGGCGGTGAGTGCCTTAAAGGCTACTTAACCCTTTGCAGGACCAGGTCAACATGAAGATCTATAGCAGAAAGCTGTTTTACTGCAGGGGTTTTTTGCTCACTAGGGTTTTTTACTCCTGTTGCTTCAGTTGCTGTTTTGAAGGTCTTGCATGAATTGTACTTCTAAAATACAGCAACAAATATGCCATGCAAATGTTTTTACTGAGTGATAAATAAAACACAAATTGCATTCTAAAAGTATTCTGCTCCCTTCCAAATCTGCTAATCAAGCACAATCCTCAGGCACATCCCCAGTTACCTCTCCTGCAGCAACTCAAGAGCTTCATTGTGCAGTGCTTGCCAAATGTAGGATAGCAAAAACCAGGCTGGCCTGATGCATCCAAGTAATTCTGCAATCCACTTTGAATTTCACACCTTTGTTCTTGCTCAGTGCACAACTCCAGGTTTTAAGGCGCTTTCTTCCAGAGCTGGCTGCTGCACTGGCTCCTGCAGATCTGAACTGTGCAGGTTGCTCTCGGCGTCAGCTTTGGTTCCCAGGGCGGAACTTCTGCGCCTAAAGGACACTCACCTGTGCAGGAGCCTGCAGAGCAGCCTGATTCCGTCCCCCTCTGCCGAGAATTCTGCAGGCACTACAAACCTTTCCCAGGAGCTACAAGACAGCTAAGAGAACAGGCACCCTCAGAAGCAACACCACCGCTCTGCTCTGTTTGCTCTTCTCTACTTCTTCAGACTCAGGATGTCAATCCCACCAGGCTGCACATTTCTTAGCATGGCCACGATTTCCCTGGAGAACAGCCCCCACCCAATTTGGCTCTGAGACAGGAGGATTAGTCATCTCTCAGGAAGAGGCACCCACAGCCAGGCTGCTGCCACTTGTCGCTTCCAGAGCCTGGCTCTGCAGATGCTCAGGCTGCTCTGGGCTCTGCTAGGGCTCTACTGGTGATCAGCCCTGAGCACAGCTGGGCCCACTCTCCCCTCACATTGCTCTGACAGCTTTGCATCAGACAAACCTGTCTGGGGCACATCGACCAATCTTTCTGCTGTTTCAGCTGCATAAGACTCTCACCCAGGCAAAGAGATTGCAGTTAGGGGTACAAATCCAATTGGCAAGAACTGAACCACTACACAGTCCCAGCTGAATGCCTGTATCTCCACAGGATGTTTTGTCTGACCCACTCTTCATTCCTTTCCGGCTGGAAATGCAATTGCACTTTCTTCTTCATGTAGAAGTACCACAACTGGGCAAAAACTGGCAAGTGGGCCATATTCAAAAGGCAGTCTGGAGTTGATGAATGTAAAATTGCCTTTCTCCAATTCCAAACCATACCAAAAACCCCATAAACATGACTTTACATCGTTAAGAAAGAACAGACAATTTAAAAGTGAATGTACAGCTTATTCACAGGGTGAGAAGGAAGGGAATCTTCCAACTGAATTTGCTTTACCTTGGAAATGGTTGAGGCAGCAAAGCATTTTCTGTCATTACCTCTCTGTCCTTAGCCCCGATTCATCTTAAAAATAAATTAAGGAGCCAGAAAGCAGGAAGAAGACAAATGACAATTTTTTACTCCTTGAGGAACTGGGGTGGTCCTACCACCATGACTGTGACTGTTGGTTTGTTCATCCATCCATCTGTCCCGCAGCATGAGAGTTGAGGTTTTACAGAGTTTGTGTTCTCAGTCCTGCTCTGAGCTGGCAGGGCAGAAAGCCGACCTGCAGTGCTAGCGGCTGCTGTTCTTAATTGCTTCCTTTGCTGCAATGATCAGAGGAGTCAGGCTTGAGAGCGGCTTGGCTAATTTTAAAAATGGATGCTGCCCAAAGAAAAATAAACAAGAAAGGTACCATTACTTTTCAAATACAGTTCCTCACAGGCTCAACCAGGATTCCAGTTGTTACCAGAAATAGGACTGAGGGGACCATCTGCACTTCTACCTTCATGTCCAGGATATTGCTATCACAGGCGAACACGGCCCACATGCCTATCAATCCATTTTTGCAGGTGTCTTCAGCCTGCTGGGATTTTTGCTCTGTCAGTGCTCTGGGAATGCTGCTTGCTGCCCTGAGCTTTGTTCCTTTCAGGAAACTGAAAATACTCACTTAGGTTTCTCCTTTCTAAAGACACAAACTGTGTTAATTGTCAAAAAAGATATGTGTAAGTCATTCCTCAGGAAACTCCAATATCTCTTAGAAATGTTTAACCCAGTAGAATTTAGGCTCGTGTTTTCTCAAGACCCGTATGGAGGTACAGCAGCAAGTCAGGAGAAGGGAAACAAGTGGCAGAATGCTGATGGACTCAGCTCTGTCTTGCAGGGAGAGCAGTGTCTACCCTTCTATCTCCTGGCCCTCCTGTGCTGGCTGGCACCTTCCTTCTCAGCAGGGACAGTCAAGTGGCATGTTCTGCAGCTCCCTCTCTGCCACAAAACCTGGCAGCAAACCCTGAGCAGCTTGACTGTGCCAGGAAGCAAACAGGGCTGGGACAAATCCTGTTCAGCTATCCCTGTTTGGGTAGCAGAAACCTCTAAAAATGGGGCTTAGTGGCAGAAACTTCTAAGAGCAGGAGGGACAAGCTGAGACCCCCTCTGAGGCTCAGGGTAATCTCCCCACAACCTTCTCCTTCCCACAGCCAAATCCCTGACATCTTGGCTGGGACTGCTTTTAGTGGGTTCCTCCCCCACCAACATCATTTCAGGCCTCTATATCTGGTATCATTCTACTTCAGTTCTTTTGTCAAGAATTAAAACTGAATTTACTCCCAGAAGTACAAAACACGGCCACAGAAATGGCCGTATCTCCTCTGAGAAAAAGCTGAGAGAGCTGGGCTTGTTCAGCCTGGAGTAGGGCAGGCCCTGCAGAAACCTCACCTTACAACTCTTCAATACTTCAAGGGGACTTGTAAGAAAGTTGGGGACACATTTTTTAGCAGGGCCTGTTGCAACAGATCAAGAGGGACTGGTTTTTGAGTCAAAGACAATCAATTGAGATTTGATCTAATTAAGAAACAGTTTACAAGGAGAATGGTGAAACACTGCCACAGGTTGCCCAGGGATGTTGTAGGTGGAAGTCCATCCCTGGAAACATCCAAGGTCAGGTCAGATGAAGCTCTGAGCGACATAACCTAGTTTAAGAGATCCCAGCTCAGTCAGACTAGACAGACCTTTAAAGGTATCTTCCAACCCAAACCACTATAGGATTCTACTTAGTTTTTGCTTGAAAGCACCAAGACTAATTACAGAGATGGGGGGTGGGGGGGGCGGCTGCCACCTGATGTCTTTATTTGATGAGAAAACTGATCCCTTGGACATCTATTTCACCTGCAGTTGCTTCATATCTTACCTGCAAAAGTTCCTTGGCAGACCCTCGTCTGTCCACATCCATCTCCAGGCAGCAGTTAAGAAAGTCTCGGAACACAGCTGAGAGTCGCTCTGGGTTCTGCAGCTCTGGTGTCCCATTTGTAGCTATCAGATACAATGCCTAGAGACAAAGGAAACAGAAGACTGTTTTGTTCCTACCCAGAAATATTCACATAGACCTTATTTTTAAGCTCCAATCTCCACTGGCAGTTTCTTCCCTGGCAGACGGCTGGAGATGACTTTCACGTATCAACAACAACAAAAAACCCAACAAAAAAAACCCCAAAAATCCTGATGCAATCACAGCTATTCCAATATTAAAATGATCTTGCCTTGACAGCTGATTTCATTGGCTGGCTTAGAAGGAACTACATCAGAACGTTTTGCTTCTCCAAGTATTGACACAGCTTTACAGGCAATTTTAAAGTCTGTGTGGTCTAAATATATTATTTCAAAAGATTATTACATAAAATGCATCTCTGCAGTGCTCACTGGTCCCTGAAGTATGGCTTCATTACTACTTTTTTGCTCTGTTCTTGATAAAAAATGGTTACTAGATAAAAAAAAAGATAAATCCATCAGCTTATTCCTTGCATAAAAAATCAGAAACACTTGGAGTCTCATGTTCAACAGACACGTCAAGTTGCATGCACAGATATAGTATGATGGAAAGGCATAATGGGGCAGAGACAGGATGCACCTTCAACTATCTTTCAGCAGTCTCTAAATTCCAAATCAGCTTCACTTATGTGGTAAAACTTTTAATAGTCTCATCAGAAAAAGGAGTAATTCCATCCTTATGGTAAGCCTCCACTAGTCTAAGAATTCTCCACTGTAAACAGCTCTGACCACCACCCAGCAGGGATCACTATGACTATTTGCAGGCTTCAGGTGAGATAATAACCCTTTCACTGCACAGATGAGACTTGCAGACCTTCGATTCTCTCTGGAGCGAGAGAAAAGGACAGAGTGAAGACATGTAGAGAAACAACATGAAGACACCAAAGTCAGTAAAGAAGAAGTCAGGTCCCAGATGGGAGGAAAAATGAGGAGGTGTCTTAGGCTTAGGCTGAAATTCTCCTGTAAGCCATGGTGATGGACTATGATATACTGAATATCCCTATATTGAATATCCACAGAAAAAAGCATGGGGGGCTGGAGTGTTCACATTGTAAACATGAGCAAAGGCATCCATGCTGAACAAGCAGATGTTGAAGAAGATGTGATCCTATGAGAAGTTTGAACAGAGAGAAGAGTGATGAACACCCTCTGCCCCCAGGGAAAGAAGATCTCTGTTCCCAGAGATGAGGATGATCTCATAGATAGATAAAGAGAACCTTTGCTTTTGAACAGTTCATCCTTAAAACAGTACTCCATAACTTTGATATGGCCCATGAACACAGCTGTGGGAAGGCTGCAAAAGATGGGAGAGACTTTATGACTGCAGATTTCCGGGCAGTTGCTATTCGTGGAAATTAAAAGCCATGAGAGAACTGTTTTCTTGAGAAGTATCCATAGCATGACAAGAGAGACTCCTCTCCCTAAGTGAACTGAAGAAAGACTATTCTGGAGGTGATAAACTGACTGAATTGTTTCTTTACATTGTCAGTGGGAAAGAAAAGAGAGTGTGGGGGGGAGGAGAAGTGTTCTGAAAGTTTTATTCTGATTCTTTTAGTTTTGTTAATAAAGTTTTTCTTTATACCCTTTTAAGTTTGAGCCTGCTTTGCCTTCCTCATAATCCTATCTCACAGCAGGAAATAAGTAAATAATTCTAGTGGGTGCACTGGCAATTTGGTCAGCACAAAACCCACCACATAAATTGGTGCATTGGCAGGAAAGCAAGAGTTTTTTCCCAGGCTTGTTTGTTTATAACGTGTGTTCAGCTTTCTCAGTGGTTTAACAGGTTGCCAGTTCTCAAAACTAATCACTGATTGTTTTTTGTCAGACACTGAGGAAGCTCTTAGCAGCTCCTCTCAGAAAAATCATTTCCATGTGTGGCTTCTTTCCTCCTCACCAAACGTCAAATGTGCAAAACCAGCACACTTTCTAACAGCTGACCTGAGGCTTCTTGAGGAGCCCTAATCAACATTTGAGATTAACGAAGCAGGGAATTTTCAGCATCCAGATCAATAATACTAATTCTTTTCACCTGTTTTTGCTGCCTTATATAAGGCAACTGCATTTTTTGCAAGTGAAATATGGGTTCACAGGAAACAGAAGCAAAACTGTGATGTGTAAGGGTCTCTGCTGGGACAACAGGGCTGCAGTGACAGAGGCCTAATGCCACTCTGCCAGCTACAGTGCACTCTGCTTATCCAGCACCACGCTGAAATCAAACCTGTTTCTTTCTTATCCACCCTAATGAGGTGACATAGTGCACAATACTCGACATGTGCGCCCTGGAACCAAAAACCCCAGGGCACCTATGAAACCAAAGGAAGTCTTCCAAGAAAACTCAGGAACTTTATTCAAGAAGAGTGAAAGACTTGTATAATTGAAAGAGTGAAATCTGTATAATTGATGTATTCTTTTCTTAAGCAGCTGGGAGGTATGTCTTGACTCTTCTGTAGTTTCTTCTGTCAGTCTGCAATACACAGTCTAGGTGCCACAAACCAGAGAAAACACAACCTTACAGTACGGACAAAGCTAAAGATCATGCTCTATTTCAATTCTAGCCTTAAAAAAAAAATCTATGTATACATATAGGTAAAAATTAATTTTCCCATAAATTCCCGCATTAATTAACTGTGCAGCATTTTGCCTTAGCTGTCAGTCATGAGGTTTTATCCTGGTAAATACATTGCTCCACTACTACATACTCATTTAGTGTACGAACTGGCCATTTCATTTTAAGACATTAGGATAAAACTGAAAACTTCAAAATACACTAGTTTATTACAAGTATCTGTGCTAAAAGATACTTGTAGGAATGTGTTTGATAACAAATAATTATGGCATTACTAGAACCAGTGATCTTTCCTGGAAGATTCAGGTAATCAATCAGCACTCGTCTGAGACTGCAGAGTTTTGTGCCTGCAGGTACAGCTCCAATGCTTATCATAAAAATTCCCCAACTGGAGAAGCATGGCACTTGAAAATTTTTGTAATTTGGAGATACAGTTCAAAGATAGTTCAAAAAGGGCATGAAAAATTTCAAGCATTGCTGAAGGCCAAAGTGGCAAGTTTCTGCACAGGTACATGTCGCTTTGCCTCTGAGGTTCTCACAGTGATGCAATCAAAGCTACAGAAGATGCAGATGTGCTGTAGGAACATTTTTAGAAGTGGGCCTTTGTAGAACTAGTTCAAGCTGATGTGAATGTGAATTGGCTGCATTTTGGCCACAATAAGCCCCTGCAACGTTATAGGCTGGGGATGGTGTGACTAGACAGTGCCCAGGCAGAAAGGGACCTAAGGGTACTGGTTGACAGCCAACTGAACATGAGCCAGCAGTGTGCCCTGGTGGCGAAGAGGGCCAAAGGCATCCTGGCCTGTATCAGGAATAGTGTGGCCAGCAGGACCACAGAGGTCATTCTTCCCCTATGCCTGGCACTACTAAGGCCCTACCTTGAGTGCTGTATCCAGTTCTGGGCCAGCTTAGGAAGGACGTTGAGACGCTTGAGCACATTCAGAGGAGGGCAACAAGGCTGGTGAGGGACTTGGAACACAAGTCCTGTGAGAAGCGACTGAGGGAGCAGGGGTTGTTTAGCCTGGAGAAAAGGAGACTCAGAGGTGACCTTATCACTCTACAACTGCCTGAAAGGAAGCTGTACTCTAGTGGGGGTTGGTCTCTTTCACCAGGCAGCAACTGACAGAACCAGACAACACAGTCTCAAGTTGCACCAGGGGAGATACAGGTTGGATAATCAGGAAGCAGCTTTTCATGGAAAGAATAATAAAGTATTGGAATGCTTTGCCTGGGGAGGTGGTGGAGTCACCATCCCTTTATGTATTTAAAAAAAGACTTGATTTGGCACTTGGTACCATAGTCTAGTTGAGGTGTTAGGGCATGGGTTGGACTATATGATCTTGGAGGTCTCTTTCAACCTGGTTATTCTGTGATTCTGTGAATGGGATTCTATCTCATGGAAGACAAAATATGGCAATTATAAAGACAGCAGTATCTGATATTTCACCCTACCCTGAGAGGATTTTCATTAAGGTAAGGAGGTTCTCCTTCCACCATTTCTATTGCCATGATCCCAAGTGACCAGATGTCCACTTTGGGGCCATATGCTTTTCTTGTTACAACTTCTGGTGCCATCCAGTAAGGAGTCCCCACCATTGTGCTCCGTTTACTCTGCTCAGGGGTGATCTGAGCACAGAAGCCAAAATCAGCTGAGGAGAAAAACAAATACTGTTAAAGCCAGTTTGAATTCTGAAATCAAGTAAAAGAACCCCTGCTAAGAACCCCCATCTGAGGATGCACTGTGGAATCTACTGGAAAAGCAGCTATGCTGTGTTTCCTCAGGGCTGTAGTACCCAAGGTATTATGGAATTTGCCACTTAAAGAAATCCTCAAGTTTCATCCACTGGCTTTTACTTAATCACTACAAGATTTAGACTGCAGCTCCCTCCACTCTGGAAGGATCATACAGAAAGCAAAGCCACTCTTGACACCCTGTTTCTCTCTAGACCTCTCTGCACATTGCAGCTGTGCCCTCACAGCAGGGGTCTAGGCACTCCCACCAGCATCACTTTTGGAGAACTGGCTGTCACTCAAAAGCAATCCCACATCCCACATCCAGGAATGCTGCACTTGACCAAGAATACCTACTCAATTTGACAGATCCGTCCATCCCAAGAAGAATATTGTCGCTTTTGATGTCTCTGTGGATCACTTGATTGGAATGAAGGAAATCCAGGGCTTGCAGGCACTGATAAGAGGAAAAAATAAATATAAGGGTAAAAATTCATGACATGATTTCATCATTCAAGAAAGGAAATAGGTCTACGAGATTTCCTTTCTAGGACAATGGTGAGGAATGGCAGAACACAGTCCAGTCAAGAGAAGAGCTTGCTGCTCAACACTTTTAGTCATGTCTTTCTAGGGGAAGGCACATACTAGCTTTTGAAAGGGAAACATCAATTGTTGCTACAGACTGTCCCCTGCAAACATAGACAGAATGATATCAGGTGCAGTGGATCAGCTCTTTCTTCTCGATTTCATGACAACACCACAGAAACAGAAGCATAATCTTGTCCACACAAACAGAAGCACAAGTGGGATCCCTCACCTCCCGACAGACAGCAGCTATCTGTCCTTCATCCATACATGTCTCGGTGACAACATCGGTTAAAGAGCCTCCAGCCAAGTATTCCATCACCACCCACAGTTCATCACCAACAAGGTAGCTGAAAGGCGAAAACAATGCTGTGGAGATGAATGTGCATAGCTAAACTAAGGAATAATCATAACCTACAACTGATTCTTGTCTCCAGGTCCTTTGCAAATGAAGGCAGAGTAAAATGAAAAGGACATTCCTTCTAGGCTACACAGCTCTTGGAATCTGCACAGTCTACATGAGAAAAACACATCCATGAAAAAGGAAATATTGCAGGTGACAAGCAAGTGAAGAATGCACTTTAATAATATAAGCAAGCAAAGATAAATCTGGAACCAGGACACATGCCACCAGCCAGTTCATCATCTTAACCACGAATTCCACCATTAACCCCAGGAACAAGGCAACATAAGTTTCAAAGTTATCCATGAGAGGAGGGTGTGCACCACTGAGGACAGAAGTTGGTCAAATGTTCAGAAAACCTTGCAAAACATACACTCAGAAACAGGAAAGGCCACTAAAAAACTGTCAAATTAGGATGTTTCTGGAAACAAGAACTTAGTCTTCCTGGCATCCCCAGCAATGGAAAATAGTGGAAACAGCCTAAAGGAAAGAATTTCTAGGATAATTTGTCAGCACTTTGCATAAGACATAGAAAATCTGATCAACTTAAAAAAAAAAAACAAGCCCCAGAACAACATGGAATCACTTGGCACATGGAGTTGACAGACCATTGTTTTAGTAAGATATAGCTGGTTGAAGTTTTTGAAAACAGACTGCAAACTATGTATGCCAGAAAACACTAAAGCAGAGTCAATGCAATCTCCTCCCATCCACTGAAGATGAGGAGAGAAATAATAAAGAGCTCCATGTTCTGCAATGATCAAAGAGTTTTTTTAACCTTTGGCCTGCAGTGTGTAAACAAACATTCACACGATAATACCAGAACAACTTACCTGTCTAAATAGTTAACGATATTGGGATTCTTATTTTCCCTCATGACCAGGATTTCATTGATAATTAGCTCCTTTTTGGGCTGCTGTTGGAGATTCATTTGCTTTATGGCCACCTAAAATGACAATTAAAAGCCATTAACCTGAGTAGTCTGTTGCACAAGATCAGAATGAACATGCAGTGGACAATTACATGATTTTTGATTGTATCATATGCTATTCTTGATTGCATAACAAAGCAAATACAGACATACATTATGGATATTGTTCCACAACAAAAATAACAATCCTAGCACTTCCCAACTTCTGAAATTTTGATTTGCTCTTCTAAAGAACACTCTTTAACACAGTTTACATTTGCAGTTTTTGTCAGGCCTAAAAAGAAATAATCCATGTGCTGGAATATTTTATGGATATGCCCAGGGTTATAGGAAGGCTTAGGGCTTTTATACCCCTTGGAGACCCCAATTTAAGTGTGGTTACCAAATGCAGCACAACAGGTGTATAAGGAACTACCAGTAAGATTCAGATCCAAATCTCTTCTGAGAGCCAGAAATGAGAACTCAGGAATCTGAAGTTGGATCCCCAAAGACCAGTGGGATTCTCATAGACATGACCTTGTCTGTTTTTTACTAATATGATCACTGTAATGGGCTGTCACTGAGACCAGACCAAAACACAACTGACTTCTTACCAGCTGCAGTAGGATTGAAACACAAAACTGAGTCTAATACATGGTTTCTCCTTAACTATGTCTTGCAGTATACTTTAATACCAAACGCATGATGGAACAAATGGCAAATAGTATAACTGTCCAAACCTACAACTGCGATAAATTGGGCCTGAATGATGGCAGTTGCCTTCGGATTGTGGATGCCTTAACAGATTTAGCAATTAAGACAGAGACTGTGTCCTCTCTGCTGCCCTCCTTTTTTGCTGGCTGTTCTAAGGACACAGTCTTTCAGAAATTAATGTAACAAACCTATTTATTCCTCACAGCAACAGGAGAAACTGTGACCACCTCCAGCATTTTCCCAAGGCCTCTAAGCACAACAGATCTTTTGATTTTACAACCTGCATTGCTAAACCAGTCTGTGGCCACATGCACAGGCGGATTTTATGGTATAAATGTACAGAGTTAAACTGTGTATGTAGACCAACATTCTCGGAAAAGCACAACTTGATGCACAATGAGGAAGAGAGATAGAACAATTTCTAGACCAATAAAAAAAATTTATACTGGCAATAAACATTATCTGCTTTTTATCGGCACAAAAGCTCGTTGGGATTTCTTAATAGATTTCTCTCCATTAAAAAAATATTCATGTAACATGATATCAGGGTGGATCAACAATAGTGTGGAGAGCACGAACCTGCTCTGAAGACAAAGTAAGTAAAAATTTAATCTCTTAAAATTGGCCTTAAAAGTTATGGGTGAAGCATCCAGCCAAGCATAGAGAGCACCAAGGCTCTTATTGATTCTAGGAATTCACAGGCACCTTTTCAGGCATTTACAAAAATCTCAGATCCAGTGCTGCTGGAAAGCATATGACCACACTAGGTGCTCAGTTACTGAGGCACAGAACCACACAATGCCTTTAAATGCACCAAAAAGCTGAAGACAGCACATGATGGATTTTACCAGTTGGCATTTGTCAATGCTTCAGAGAAACAGCCTTTGCAGGAAAGCTCTACTGGCCACCCAAAGCTCCAGCCACAGCTCACACCAGAGGGGAAAGCACTCAACAGCTGCAGAATCTGCAGGGATTTTTGACACTTACCTCTTGTCCTGTGGCAATGTCAATTGCTGTATAAACAGTTCCTGAAGCCCTAGAAACAAAACAGCAGGAGAAACTGAGAAACACTTTATTCCCTGGAAGTGAAAGACAGCCCAGACAGAAGAGCTCTGCTGCTTGGAGTGTTTATAAGGGCTCACCCACTCCTCAGCCAACAGTGTGGCAGCCCACCAGTCCTCTGCCATGCATGGTGTCCAAGAGAAAACTCAGGTCCAACATGAAGAAAAAGGGCTGGTGCAAATCTCCAGTATACATGCCACATTATTTTAATTCAAAACCTAAAGGGGAGGGATGCCTACAAAAACTGGAAAATAGTATGTTTAATTCTTTTCCATTTTGCTGTGTTGAATTTCATTTCCCCCCCACCTTTTCCTTTGTGCATCTGTGAGTGTGTTTTTTCCATGAAATGTAACACACAATCTAGTTGGGCTTTCTCACACCTTTAAATTGAATCCATCTGCCAAACTCAGGCAATGTCACAATGTCACTCTGAGAACCATGAACATATGACAGCCATTTGAGGAAAAGATCTAAATACAGCTTTCTCCAGCATTCAAGCAAACAACTTTCCAGCCATCCTGCAAGGTCACTGCTAGAGCAGATTAAGGCATCTATTATTTCACACACAAATTGAGAAGGACTCAGAGCAGAGGATGCTTAAGAGAGTTTCTTTGTGTGTCAAGAACCATAGACAGCTCCATCTGTTGAGCACTCCTAATAAATGAAAGACTCTTTAAGGTGTCCATGTGTTGCTACTGTGGCAAACATAGGTTGTGTTGTAGAGCTACCAGAAATAAATGGTGTGCTCATCTGTAGACTAGATGGGGTGGGCTTCGGTCTGCCTCTCCTTCAAATATGTTCTTTCCCCACTGGGGCCTTTTCAGCCCACGTGAAGGGCTGAAAAGGCTCCAGTCAGAGGCAATGAATTCCTTTGGGTTTCAAAGTAACTAGGGGCTTGAAACACCCTTCCTTCTGAGCTAAACCACAGCTTTACACTGCCATCATTCAAGAAACCCATGTCTGCAGGGGCAGTGAGGCAGTGGAGAGTCAGGGAAGAAATTCTCACACATGGGAATGTGCATCCAGCAAGTGTCCAAGTGACTGAAAGTGCCAAAATCAGTTTGCTCCTTTTCACGTAATCCCCTGGCTTGTTTGTTTACCTACAGGCTGAAATATTTTAGAAGCAGTTTAATTCAACAGAGACCTTATGTCTGCATTGAGAGCAATATTATCACTAGGCATGCTAGGCATTCTCTTAATATAAAGGGAAATGCATTTTCCTGTAACTAATAGACAAGATTAATCCAATTTGTTTTCATAAGAAGTCAACAGTTTATTCAGAATTGCTAACACTGTGATGATTCTCCTGAAGAAAGTCATATCAGGTTTTATTTCAAAACAGTTCTTGAAATTAGAATGCTTTTGGAATGCTCCAGGCCACCTGTGAGGAGTTTAGATAAAGGTAATTTAAGTAAAGCTGTGAATTAATTGCAAAGGCTTTGTGATTCTGCATTACAAACTTTTACTTCCAAGTAACTCATTTCTGATCAGTAACTTTTAATCAGTTCTGCAGCACCCTGTCTTAAGTGCAGTTAGGCAAGTACCACGACTCACCATTAGATCTGTGTCACTGTGATGCAGTGCAGTACTAACCAGGCTGCTCATGGCTCCATACTAATTTGTCTTGCTACAAGAGCTAACACTGCTTGAGAAAACACAACCTCTTTATCAAGTGCTAGTTAGAACTAAGATTCCTCTGATGTTAGCAACTTTTTCAGTCCTCAGCTGGAGACAGTCCACAAAACAGGGACTCAGCACTGACCTGTTCTGCAGCACAGGCCTGCTGACTACTGTTCACTGCAAAGTGGCTGTAAAACGATCACAGTATTTATCAACTTCCCAGCTTTATGAAGCTATGAAGTGCATGCAATGTGCTGACCAAGTTGCTTTTCCTTATATAAGCAGCTGCTCCCTACCTGCAGTTCTCTGAGCAGCCACACCCCTTCCTGCCTTTCAGTGCTCTTATTAGTAGCTACTAAAAACCTGCTCACTTCCAACACTATAACACTTGCCTGCGGCATAGCTGTACGCAACTGATTGCAGAAGTGGCAGCTCAGGAAGTGGCACCTGCATTAACTGAGCACATCAGCACCTGCCGAGGCAGTGCCACAGCCCAGCACTGTTGCACATACCCAAACCCCAGCCATGCAGCACTTTGGGTCCTCCTGATCATCTTGTTTGATTACCTTTCTGATGATCTTTCTCTTTAAGCCTGCAGTATCAGAGGCATGATTTAATTATGGTAGCACACTCCTCTCCAAGGAGGCTATGCAATCAATGTTCAGGCTATACTAAAAGCTGGAGGAAATCCCTTTAGATACCCTTTTAGGCCACATACCAGCCACTTGTCTTTCCACCAGTTGTCAGGGCACCTTTGTAAAGCTCACTCCTAAGACTATCAAAATAAAAGACTGAAGGGTGTTGGTCACATTCTCACAGTGACAGCAATAACCTGCTTCACATGGATGTTTATTCTGCTCTCACCTGCTCAGCTGACACTTCTTTTCTAAGGGACAGGCACAGCTTGAAGTATCCACTGAGATTTTACAAATAACATTAAGAACCAAAGCTTTGGGTAGGAAGCAAGTTGGAATTTGAGAAAGGGTTTTAATACAACGAATGGAGCATAAATACCTTCCCACAAGGGCCCTACCAAACCAGAGAGATCTCAGACAAAACCTGCCAGAGAAAGAGCATGAGTGTGTCAGCCCTTCTGCAGTACCTTAATTATTCTAGGTTAGCAACAGGCTACTCTGAGTTCAGACGTCACAAACAGTTAAGGCAGAAAAATATCTCCTGATGCCAGTAAACAGCTTCTGTCCTACACTCACAGCAGCGTCCTGGTGTTACACAGATGGTGCCAGTCCTCCTGGAACGACAACACTGCCAAGTAAACATTAATGGTGCAGGCAGTCCATATTTAAAATGCAAGTCAGATACCTAATTTTGAAGTAAGTTCTTTTGTTCTTGCCTCCTCACATAGGAAATATTTCAAATTGATCCAATTTACAGTAAGCAAAGCTGGGGTTCAAAAGGGAACTTGGCTTGGGTGATTATTTTCAATAAATGCCTAGAACCTGCAGGATCCACAAGGGATCCACCATGAGGCAGATGATGTATTTTCCTCTGAAGTGCATTGGCGCTCTGCCCATTACTGAATTTTTGGGTTGTACAACCCCTGCAAGAAAAAAGAGTTTATTATTTAATCTTTGGTTTCAATTTCTAAACTATGCGGCTATAAGCCTGACCATTGAATATTGTTTTAAGCAAATATTTGAAATAAATGTTATAGAGAGCTGTCAGCTGACAGCTATCAGGTAGTAAAGTTTTTTCTCATTTCTTGAGCATGGTAGTATTATTTTGAGGCATACAAAAATGATTTCTCCTAAGAAAATAAGCAAACAAGAGCCACACACTTGAGGGACAGGAGATCTTTCAAGGCCCTCCTCCTTGCTGCAGATAAGATACTGTTAGCATCAAGTTGTCTTTGATGATTACTTTTGACCACAGTTATATATTCTGATCTGAGACAAGGAATTGAAGAGTAAGGAATAGTTCATCAAAAACCAAGACAATAAAGAATGCCTGACATTTACTATGCTTGCAAAAACTGAGAGGCAAACTAGTTTGTGATAAATGAAGCCAGAACTTACAAAGTGAAAAGTGCAAAGCTGTAACAATAAGTAATAAATCCAAAAGCTTAAACCAACAAAAACTCATCTCAAAGTCTAGAATGTGCCCAAAAGGCTAAGACACATGCTCCAAAGACGAAGTTGAAAAGTTCAAGTGCAATAAAGAGTTTGAAAGCCATTGTCAGAGACCACCGACTACCCCTAAATTATTAGAGAAGCACAAGCAAAAAAAAATTTTTAGTTCATTTTAATACAAAGTGAAGGTAAGCGAAACTAAGCAAGACTAGGACATGAATATGTATTAGGCGTATTGCGTAATCCTAGACATTTAAGGAATAAATAAAACAACAGTTTAAAGTTTCAAGGTGCATGCTTCGGGAGAAGCTATCCCCCATGCACCTCAGCACTAAATAAACGCATACCTACTTTATAACTGTCATTTCTCACAAGTTATAGAGTCTTTTCCACGTATCAGTTGGCAAGCACGAGCCAGGAGACCTCTATCCGGCCGCAAGAGTGGGGCGGGGAATGGACTCTGAGGCGCGCCCCTGGATTTCCCTGGAGGGATTCCGTGACTTGGCTCGCTCTATCGGGGACAAACAACAACCTGCTAGCCCACAGATAAACGGTATGTATCAAATTTAAGGAACCTGTAAATCGTAATGCTTGGCTAAGAAAACAGCCAGTATGTTGCATTGTGATGACTTTGCACGTGGGCATAGACCTTGTGTAAGTAAGGTCTGAGCTCGCAAGTGGCCGCCGGCTCAGCTAGGGGTCCGGCCAAGGGATACCGACTAGAGGGGCCCGTGGGGGAGATTTGCTGACCAATAAGGCAACTGCCAACGACCCTCAGGGTGGGTCGAGTGAATCTCTTGTTTTATTACTGCTATTTTGCCAAGGTCCAGACGTGCTGTGTACAAAACTTAAATGAAAAGTACAAAACTTAATGAACTGGTGCATAACATACAACCTAAAGATTATGTATATGTTAAGTCTCTTACAAAAAAAACCTTAAAACTACAATAAAATTCCAATTAAACTTCCCAATTAAAATTCGACAAGCAGTTTAAAATAATGCCACAAATTAAAAAAAAAAAAAGTTCCAATTGTGGTGGACGGTAGTAAATTTCACCTATAATTCCATTAATAATGTGGCCACTACCGTTGTGCTTACTATCCATAATGCCACAATTCATATCATTCACCCCATTATTGCACTAAAATTAAACCATGAAGAGACAGTGCTCCACCCCTCAAAACATAAAATGTGAGCCCAAAAAAATAAATGAAGAATGGCAAACTATAAACCTAAAATCTTGTGTTATCCAAAACCAACAAAAATTCATTTATGAAAGTAGTACAATCAATGCCCAAAATATATATCTAAACACTAAACAAAAAGTCTATAACTTTAAAATTCATCCAAATACTAGCCAAAAAATTATACTTGTATATATCCGCCAAAGCTATATATGCCTAAAAACTGCTTCTACTTTTATAAAAATAAATAATAGCAATTACCTAACCTTGTCTAATAAAAATCACTCTAATTTTTGTATTTGTCATTTTACTAAAGTCGTTGAATGTGACTTCTCATATTTTGCACCCATTGTATCCCACCAACTAATAAGATCTAATTACACAATGTATCACTAATTATTACCTACACCTATTAAAATAAACCTTACAATAGTAAAACAATTAATCAAACATCAAAACCTAACTAAAATCTTAAAAGAGATTAAAAAAAACCCCAAAAAACTCTTTAATTACTGTTTGTCATAATACAAAAAGAATACACAAAGTTATACAAAAGATAAAGCGAAACACAAGTCATCACTAGTAAAATATACTTTTTAAATAGTCACCAACCACAACTAAGATTTTAAACACACTGCTACACCCTATAATTGTCATATTAATATTACTTAATATAAACTTTATAGTATCTATTGTATGTTTAAAATTGAAAAATACTAAAACACATAACAATTTTAACCTCATTATCAAAAGCGCATTAAAAAATACTCAAAAACACCTATCATGGCAATTAGCTAGGTAAAAAATTCGTGTAGTAAGTAACAAAATTTACTTTAAATTTTCCAGAAAAGGGGGAAATGAGACAAAAAATTAAAAAGTAAAGAATAGTTCATCAAAAACCAAAACAATAAAAAATACCTAATATTTACTATGCCTGCAAAAATTAAAAGAAGATGAAAACTGGTTTGTAATAAACAAAGCCAAAACTTGCAAACAAAGTGAAAAGTGCAGAGCTACCAACAATAAGTAATAAATCCAAAACCTTAAACCAACAAAAACTCATCTCAAATTTTAAAATGTGCCCAAAGATCTAAGACGCATGCTCCAAAGACAAAATTAAAAAGTTCAAATGCAATAAAGAGTTTGAAAGCCATCATCAAAGACCCCTGACGACCCCTAAATTAAAGAAACACAAGCACAAAAAAACTTTTAGTTCATTTTAATACAAAGCAAAAGTAAGCGAAACTAAGCAAACCTAAGACGTAAATATGTATTAAGCGTATTGTGTAATCCTAAACTTTTAAGAAATAGATAAAACAATAGTTTAAAGTTTCGAGGTGCATGCTTTGAGAAAAGCTGTCCCCCATGCACCTCAACACTAAATAAATGCATATCTACTTTATAATTCTCATTTCTCACAAGTTATAAAGTCTTTTCCGTGTGTCAGATCAGTACTGAGAGACAGGAGGATCTAAACCTGATCATATCTGAACATGTTTGGGGCTTGCCTATCTTCATGCTTGATATTACACCAGCAGAATACCTGGCCCATGAATTTGCACAAGTAACTGGGATATGACTTACCCTTGGCCAATTTTTTCAAATCGAGTGTACTTCTTCTTAGGATCCCCCACGCTCACAATGCTCCCTGAAAGAAACAAAATCGAAGATTCTCACTTCAAAACAGAGATTCCACCTTTCAGCAGATCTGGAATGCAGCCCCACTGTCTGGGGCTTTCAGTCATTTGCGGTCAGCTGGGTAACAAAACCAGCAACAACAGAGGCAGCTCCATGGCACAGATAACCTCCAAAAACACTGATTTTCTACACTCCTTTAGGGTTATCCTGACAAGAAACTAAACACAAGGAGAAACATTCAGAACAGATAGAGATCAGAAAACAAGAGGCACCAATGCAAGTGTTTGTTCTCTACAAGCATTAAGTAGAGATGGAACAACAGTGCCTTTATTTTCTTGGGAATAAACACACTGTGATTCAACAAAAGGTTTAATACTTCTGAAGATTAAATGTACCTTGTGTTCACTTTTTTATGAACAGGTGCCATTTTTGGAATAGGAGGAGTATTGCAAGTGTTCCTAGGAGAGAAGGAGATCATCTCAACCTTTCAGCAGTTTGCCAAAAGAATGCCTTAATGTTTGCAGTGAACAGCATCTCATGTTACAATCAAGAATGATGGGGTTTGAGAATCAGGGCCCCCATCACTGTTTCCAGACTAAGTTCTGAAGACATCCCTGCCCTGCACCATTTAAAGAACCACACTACTGGTTTTCAATGTAACATGGACCCATCACTCAAACTGGACTTGCCCTCTCATCACCACACACACACATTGTTCTTCTCAAACCAGCAGAAAGGGTTTCAAGGACAGCAGTGCTCCTGGGGTGCTGGTGCAACACAGACAGCTGCCCAAAGGGATGCTGATCCTGAGCCCAGCTGATGTGATGCAGAAGACAGACCAAACAAGGGGCTGCTGCCTCCTGGAAGCTCCATGCTGCAGCAGTGGGATGGTCAAACAATGTGAGCACGACATTTATACCTTCTCATCTCCTATCCCTCCTTCTAGTCAGCTAGAAAGGAGTCCTAGACTCCTCTAGTCATGTTCTTCTCTATTGGAGACTTATTTTGTAGTGAAGACATGCTCTAGAGAAGCAGTATGAGCTTTGTTTCATGCCATGTATTTCAGTGAGATGAAAATATGGAAAGTTAACCAGGGTCTGAAGGCCTCAGCTTGGGCTCCCAACACTGCAGTCCATCTGACTCTTGCAGGCTGACACAGCAGGGCAGGACCACTACAGGGCACTTGAGACAGCGTGGGCATCCCAGGCAGTAGGCAGGCTCACTATGCTATCAGCCCTGGCTGGTGTTCCCAGAGTACTGGGCGAGGGGAGTGAGCACGTGGAGCAAAGGAAACCTCTTCTCCTGCAGCTCCTATTAACACTCTTGCCAAGGGCCGCAAAACTGCTTTAGCAGGGAGTGTACCAGATGGTGCTGATGCCCTGTCTTCTTGCTGTGCTGGCAGGAAGGATTCCTGGCTAGGCATCCAGCCAGATGCCCATTTGGATGCTAAAGACCTCTCTGCTCCACAAAAATGGCCTGGACAGGGGGAAGAAGTGTTTGTGACTACTAAGAGGGAATGGTGCATCATCTAGTTTTGTTTTGGATGCACACGTAAACAAATAAATGTTTGTATTTGTCATACAGGGATAGAGCCAGATCAGTCAAAGGAAATATGCCACAGATCACTGAAGTCTTTCCTTCTGAAGTCATCTTCTTAAACTGTTTCTGTGATGTACGTTCCAAGGTAAGTCTTGAGAAGATATTTGCATTGACCTTAGGCTTCATTGTTTGCATTCTATCAAGGAAACTACCAGACCAGAAAAAACAGTACAATTTATTTAATTAAGCCATTGGATTTGTCTGAGTCTATCAGATTTTGGCTCTTTCATTAGACACAAACAAAATATCCTAATTACAGCTTTTTTTCCTTCCCATCAGATTCCTGGCATCTCCAAATGGGCAAGAAAGTGTCAAACAGGGCAAGGTTTAACTTAAGCTTTCAATGGCATGAAAGCCACAACAGGTGATGGGGCCAGACTGTCCCACATGGGACTGTCTCACAACCCCCACGAGCTCTGCAGCACTAAATCAAACACTGCTCTAATTCTGTGCTGGGCTGGACAAGAACAACACTGTGCTGCCAGTGCTATTATAGTTGCTATTTTCAGCAAGTTAATGGAACAATGTATCTATTAAAATGTATATCAGAAGTTCATTCACTTCAGAAAAGAATACAGATAAGGAGTGAAGAAGAAAGATTTTAAAAAATTTTTTTCCAAATCTGCCACTGATTTTGAAGTCCAGATTTCCAGAGTTTTTCCTCAAGATTTGAGTAGCTGCTTTGCCAAGGCAGTTCTTTGTGGCTGGTTCCCTGTGCATATGCCAATGTACATCAAACATTACAGCATTAAAATCAACGAAGTGACAGGTACACAGTTCCCACTCAGACAAACACTCCCTGCTCTGGACGAAAGACAAACCTATCAGCTATTCTGATGTTTTAAAGCACTTTCCTTTATCAAGTCCTAAATTAAGTGGATAAGAAGCTGAATTGGGCCAGTTCTGTTTTATAGTCAGCAGTGGAATATAGTCCTGATTTCATTACAGACAGAATTTTATTTGATCTTATCTCAATATTACAGGCTTTACTCACTAATAAAACTCTAAAAGCTCTAAAAGAACTCAAGTTATTTCCAGCAGAAAAGAATTATGAAAGCAATCTTAGATAAAAGAGGGTAGGAGACACCTTCCTAGAAGTAGCATAGCAACAGTTGTGGGGGAAGTAGGCAAGGCAGATCAGTCATGCGAGTCAAAATACAACAAGCACCACACTGCTTAAATATAATTAGTTCAAGACTCTAATATAAAAGCATCATGCCTGTTTTCAGATAGCTTCATGAAAGCACAAAAATATTTTCATTGCCCTCATCACAATTTGCCCAAAGCAGACATTCAGATCTTGCTCACTTGGTAGCAATTTGTCAAGAAAGAAGAAGCATGAAAGCATGTAGCATTTCAAGGATATAACTCCGAAAAACTCCAGGGCCCAGTCCCAACCTGGCATATACAACAGCTTGAATAAATGATAGACATACTTGAGCTTGTGGACGCAGGGCACCTGTTGATGTCATGAGGGAAGCCTGCCTTAAACATTTAGTATCAGTTGAAGAGGCAGAATTCCTTTCTCTATAAGCTGACATACCTGCAGGCAAACCACCTGCTCTAGAATTTATTTCATTTTGCCCTCAGCTAAAGCTATTGAATTTATCCCTTGGATACTCCCTAATGTCACTGAGATTCATGTCAACCTGGTAAGGATGAAGGAAACTCTATGCAAGCAGCTGAAATCTCACAGCTAAGGAAGACTTCAGCCTGTGCAGTCACAGCAGCCATCAGTGGCAGGGCAGGTATGACAAGAAGGTTAAGTAACGGCAACCATTGAGAAAAAGCCATAGCCAGACAGGACCCTATTACAAGCAGTTGCCTCCATTAAAGACACATTATTGGCTTTGTGATCTGACAGAAGGAGGTGTAGATCAATCTGCTTTTTTTACTAACAGTTAATGGTAGACACAGAGTAACCTGAGCTCTGTTCTGAACCCAACCATTTAATCTGAGAACACTGCACTGGCAGCTATCACATGCAAGAAGCAAATTAAATTAGTTGCACTGCAGAATCACGAAGGACTTGATGTGCTTCAATAGAGTAAGATCTGCAAAGGGGTTGGGGCCAACGGTTAGGATTCTAATAGTATTAACTGGCTGGGAATTAGCCATGAAAAAGTGCCATGTCATCTGAGGAATATATAGTGGATGCTCCTTTCAAAGGAGAGCACACCGACAAAATTGTAAAGTTCTTATAAAAACAAACTGTAGAAGTAGGAAGAGCAATAACAGTTAGGAAAAGGACAGCAAGAGAAAACCTGGAAGATGCGTAACTCTCTCAAGGAAAGCTCATTAGGGCTGAAGGAACCAGCTTAGTGTTGCAATTGTCTACTGGTAAAAAAACCCATACCAATAAAAAGCCTCCCACAAACAAAAACCCAACAGATTTTTGCGAAATATTTTGACCCCGATGACTTGTGAGAGGTTAGGAGTCTAAAGAGAATTTAGGAAACAAAACATTCTGTTCCATTTGGCCATTAGTACACAGCAGTTCCCTACGTCATTCACTAGGTCACAGCCTTTTGCTCAACCAGAAACAATCTCTGCTTTTGCCTTTAACACAGAAGGAAGCTCAGGCAAACCCAACCCAGTCCCAGCTGCCCTCAGAGGCAGCAGGAAGACCCCGAGTGTTCTCTTGATGCCTCAAAGCACAACAGTTTCTGTAGGGAGCTGTAAATGACTCTGTGACACTAAACTGAGAGAAACATTTGGTACAGCTAATGCTGACACATGCAGGAAATACACTGCTCTAGTAGACTCGAAATACCCAATACATACTCAGTTTCTCTAGGATCTCTTCATCTGTCATCTTGGATTTTTTTCGCTGCCGGTCCGTGTTTCTGTACAGAGTGTTTGTGTTTGAGTTTTCAGGTTGGGGAGTGGTGGCTTCTTTAGCTGGTGCTGGTGCAGCAGCAGGTTCAATAACAGAGCGTGTGTAGATCTGTGACAATAAATTATTTTGTGTCAGAAAGGTGGCTGGCAGAGATCCTGGAGATCATATTTCACGTACAAACCCTTAGGAATATCGTGTCAGCCACATCCAGGGCTCTAAAACTGGTTTTGCTGTCCACTTCTCAAATTGAACAAGAAAAAATGAAAGGTTACAAGTTCATAGCAAATTTCATGTTCAATTTTCATGGATTTTCTGATACAGTCCATGGAGAGGGGCAGGTACCTCCAGAAGACAGTGTGTCCTATGTATCTTGCCAGGATATGAAGTTCATCTTTGGACTGCTATCCCTGCTGACAGGAGCCTGCACAGCTGGACAAAGTAGCTCACTTTCACAGTTGTAGCATTAAAGGACACGATGGACCTGATACAAAATGTCATGGCCCCCACCAGAATCCTGGGAAACTGACACGTCAATGTGGAAGTTCAAAACTGATTTTCCCAGTGTCAGTGGCTGGAGTGAAGCTGTGTGTCATGACAGGACTTTCACCCAAGCACCTTCAGCCCCCAGCAGCAAGTGCTGTCTTATCAGAAACTTGCAACTCTGCACTGCACCAAACACAGATCTAAGCAAAGCTGGCACTTACTGATTTTGTGTGTTCAGGTCGTGGGGCGATAACAGGTGGAGGTTCATTGTCATCTTCCTCCTCTTCATCATCTTCATCCTCTTCTTCAGATACAGAGGGAGCCAGAGGAGGTTCTGATGCTGTTTTTGTGCTCTGTGGACAGACAGTACTGTGACTGACAGTTGTTACCTTGCCACTTTGAAACTGATAGCTATCTCCACCCTTAGTCTTCCTAGACATCAGAGGCCAATCGAGATATGGACATGCTCCTATGGGCCTAAGTTCTAAGTTAAACTTAGCACAACACTTAAAGGTTTAGGTTCATTGAACTCCACTAGTCACAGCTGCTGCTCAGCAGCAGGGGTTTTTATCATGTCATCCCAAATTTCCTGGTGAAACAAAAAAATGAAAGTGAAGTGTTTACCGACTGCTTTAAAGCTGGCTACAAGAGGCACTTAGAGAACTGAAGCAAATTAAAGGCATTCAACATATTCACATGCCATCCCTTTGGTCCAGTACAAATACCAGTAAGGGAAGCCCACAGCAAACAGGGAGACTTGAGTCGGTAATTTTGAAAAGCTGTCATGCTGATTGTCTCATTACTGCCTCTGTCTGCTAGATGAAAATACTACAGCATCTGCCAAGGAAAAGCTACTGGGAAGGCTTACTGTGCTCTGGTGAACACCACACTTCCTCTGAAAAGTGTGTTATTAAAGATAAGGGAAATGGCATTGATTGAAAATCTGAAGTGTGAATATTCAAAGATAATTTTCATTTCATTATACACAGTTGGCTGTGTAATCACAAACATCATATGAAGCTGCTTAACACTTTAAAATAAAAGCCAAATCCCCATTCAGTCACTTGCTATTTAATTCACTAACAATAATCCTAATATATTTGGTCAGTATTAATGTGTATGTCACTCCTACATCTCTGGGATTGTTGTTTGCAATCCAGCATTAATTGGATGGTTATTTAAAACTGCTCTTTAATGGTTCCAGTGATTTACGTATCAATTATAACCTTATATTCAGTTATATATCCAGCTATACTAAGGAGAAATCATAAAACTTGGTAGAAATGGGATTCTAAATTTTAAAAACAAAATTAAAATGGGTTCATTAGGCAGTGCTGCATATTGTTGTGAATGATATACACCATGGCTAAAACCAGCCAGCAATCTTCTGTCTGCTAAACCAGACTTTCACCTTTTTAAAAAGATTTCAAGTGGAAAATCATGAAACAGACAGGGAAAGCTCATGGCTCACTCCACAGTTCTTAAACATTAGGAACATCAGAGGTTACTTTTCTACTCACCGATGGATGGGCTTCTATGTATCCATGGGCGCTTTTATCTGCAATGAGCAAAGAAGAATGAACCAGATGCTGTCACAAATAAACTCTGCCTGTTTTGGGGAATCCCACAGAACAAATCAACCCAAATAGAGATGGTTTTCTTTCACACCATGCCTTCAGGAACAACAGCAAGGAAGAGAACAGGACAAAATTCCATACTGTGTCTATTTTTTGCCCTGTTTGCCAGTAAATAAAGCAAATAGAAATTTGGTCATAAAAATGTAAATTTTTCTTTAACTGTCAATGCTTCTGTTCCACCCAGGAGCTAAAGCAGGTCCTTTTTCTCCTTTTCTTCCAGTGTTGTTTTTTTTTTTCAATAAATTGCATGCATTCTCATTACATTGCTGACAAGATTTCTACAGAAAAGCTTCCTTGAAACCCCCCTTAGCCATGGCAGCTCTATGCTGACAAAGTATGAGAACAGCTCCTGGATTCAGGAGCACACATTAGCTGTTTTGAATTCTGCACTTCATCACAAAGGGAATTGCTATTTTAGCACACAGTAAGTGTCAAATTAGTCAAATCCTTTAATTACGGAATTTGGAGGAAAAAAAAGATGCTTTCTCTCAATCCTGGAGGTAAGTGCACAGTTTTTAGAAAGACTTCGGAGAAGCTTCTGCATTTTGGATGTTGTCTCAGTTGAACCTTCAAACTGAGGAAATGACAGTCTCCACTGCCACAGACGATACTGTGGAGGAAATGGAACCCCAGCAGGTTATACTTCAAATGCTGTCCACACTCTGCAGGCTACAGACACCCCCTTTTTTAGCTGAAGCTGTCGACAGGCACTCTACCAAACTAATACTATCTTAATGGCATTTTTGACCACTTGAATGTTGAACGTTGCTCTGACTTGTTTTGGAGCCTGACCTCCCCTGCTGGGAGACATCAACTTACCTCCTGACGTAAAGCTCATGTATTTCTGGTTGTTAACTGTTTCTTTTGAATCATAAAACTTGAGAACATCAAGAACAGCCTGTGGGTTCTTCTTTTGTTCCAGTTTTGTTATGTTGGATGTCTGTAGTAGCCTGGCCCACTGCTCTGGAATGCCCTGTAGATGTTGAGTGGAAACAAAGTGGGTTTAGAGTATTCAAAATCTGCAGCCTCACAGCCTCTATTTACCTAGATCCTATGCTCGCTGTAGGATTACTTGCAGAAATTTTGATTGACACCTTACAATTAAAATTAGATGAAATAATTCATTCTCTATCAAAAATCTAGCTAAAACAAGGACCCAACTTCAAAAAGAAAATTAATGACTGTGAGAGGCAAAAAAAGGGCATGAAACTTCTTTGGAAATCAACTCTGCTCTACCATAGAATTTAAGGCTTAAGCTTGTTTGCATGGTGATTCAGGACAGACATAACAAGACCATTCTCTATTGGTAGACAACACAGTGCTTTTTAGAAGCTTTATACTGGACTTTTCATGCTTAGGAATGCAAACACATTTTGCTGAAATTATCACTGTTGTCTGATTCAAAGGTAAACCCCACTCTGACACAATTAATTTTTAGCATACCAGGGAACACTGCGGGGTAAAGAATCTGCCTTTCAGCTCTCAAAATCATGACACTGAGGTATACCACAGCTGCAAAGGATGTCTCTAAATTCTCTACTGCAAACATACAGAAACAAAGGACTCGGAAAACAGGCTGAGAGTGCCAAAACCTTGGATGAATTCTTGGACATCTTATGGGTGAGGTAGAATTTGAAAATTGATCCAGTCACTAAAAGCCCCAGCTCTACATTGAGATTCTATTGATGAGAACTTGCTTCTGTTATTCAGGATAATTCTCGACACTTAACAGTATGTCATTTCCCCCCTTTACTGCACAGCTGACACAGACCAGCAAATTGTAGGGCTCTCTGAAGGAAAAGCATGCCACCCTAATTTACTTTTATATAGCTTCTTCTCAGAAGTTGTCCACAAAACAATGTGTGACATGGGCCCCCAAAGTTCAGGACTGATGAAAAAATGTAGGAAAAGCCAAGCAACAAATCTACTGCACAAACATCAACCTGTTGCTGCAGTGCTATGACATCTCAAAGAAGCATTTGGGGCCTGTGACGCACCTCTGGGAGCTTCCCTGGGCATATCTGTAAGCCACAGAGATCTGGCTGTAATGGATGTAAATAAAGAAAAGAAAGTTAAAACAGAATGTGGGAAAACTTAGGAGGTGGTAGGAGGAGGAAACGAATGGGCCAGAATGGGTAAGTCCCATCTAAAATCGGAGTTACAAGGTAGATACCAAATAAATCAGGTGGTAGACAGGCTACAGGAAGTCAGGTTTAGGAGAACAGAAAAATCACAATCGTTCCAAAGTTTGGAAGCATCATTCCCTCTCCTCTCGCTTTTAAACAGTTTTTCTCTCCTCAAAAAAATACATTCCTGAGAACTAATGGCAATTGACTAGAAAAATTACATGTGATTTCTCTTGCCAATTAAAAAAAAAAATCTGGGATTTGCTGTTTGACTAGTTTTGAAGCCAGATTACCACTTTTGAGCTTGGGCATTCTCCAGTCCTGAGATCACAACTGGACCACTGGAGAGACCAGATGGTCAAAGTCAGATTGTGAAATCTGGAAGGTTATGCACTGCCACAACACAAACAATCTGCGTGTGTCAGACTGAAAATCAGGACAATTGTAAAAAAAAATACTTGATTAGATTAGGTAGGTGCAACTTCTTTGGATCTACAGCCACAACTTTTCCAACTTACTAATGTTATAATCTAGAAGCTTTAAAAGTCTAGTGGGTAACTACATTTCCTTCTAGGTTGGGGATGAGGAAATGGTTTCAAACATGTATGCCTCACAAAAAATATTCCCCAAAGGCCTGCTAACCACGCTGTCCTTCATTCAGAAAATGCAACTCCTTTTTCATATAAAGGAGCATAAAGCTCTAGCAACACGCTCCTACCCAACAGTTTCCAACCAATTTTATATTCTATTTTAAAAGCCCCATTTCTTAGCAAATGTGGTTGCTCCAAGCAGAGTGAAATGGAGATGTAACATTTCTTCACGACGGACAACACAGGTTGGTGCTCAAGCCTGAAAGCCAGAACTCAGGAGGCCATGCATCTAACAGCAATCAGGGACTACACCCGGGGGCAATGGTTTGGTGTCAGAAAATGGCCCAGTGCATTGCATATAACCAGGAGAGCAGGCACTACTGGCATGACAGCTGCAATAGTTCAAACAAAAAAAACCCTGTATGATTGCACATTGATTGGACAATCCCATGGCACTTCCAAACTTCTGAAAGAGGCAGACAGTGTGATCACTAGACAGTGGAAATACCAGAACAGGATATGGGCTAGTGGCAGTCCCTTTGCAGGATTTACATACCACATGACTACCCAGCTGATACACTGCTTCTATCCAGGTTGGGACAAACTAAACATGCCTAATGTAGTGTGTAATGAAATGCCTGCATCTGGGATTAGTTGGGATCAATATCTTGTTCTTAATGGTGCAAAAATTTCCTTCTTTTGATTGATGTTTGATTTCACTGAGGACTAGAGCATTAAGCCCTGTGCTGGCAAGCTGCACATGGGAAGTCACCTGTCCCTTTGGTTAGTTTTGAATTGGTTATAGCCTTCTCAGACTGTAGCAATGCACTTCCACACTTCAGGAACAAGTATAATTGCAAAACAGCAGACATCTCACTTCCACTGTTTGGAAAAAGAAAAAGTTATTTAAAAAGAAACTGCTACAGCAACAAAGCTGGACCTATTTAACCATGCAGAATTGATTTCCTCTGTGTTTGGCAGCATCTGACAGCAAAAAAACCCAAAAGATCTCCAATGCTAGAGGTGGTTTTGAAACACTGATAGATAATAACAACATTCAAAATGATCCAAACTTTGATCCCTGAAATATACATAGTGAGTGCTTGTGCTTAGAACTGAAGTGTATTAGGCCTGACGTCCCTCCTTTCTGTTCCAGCTGGCTGGGACATGAACTAATGAGGACCCTGACCACCAGTCAGATTATGAGAGAACATGAGTGTGACCCATTGTGTTTGCTTGGAGTCAGAAGAAAAAAGTCTCAAACACAGGACAGAAAAAAAGGTAGAAGGCTGAAAGGAAGAACAGATATAGAGTAAGAACAGCTGGACATCCAGTGGGAAGAGAAAGGAGAGTGGGAGATGACGACAGACAAGAAGTGATGCAAACACAAAAAGGAGAAAAACAAAAGTATAAAGTAACATAATATCATATGAAGATAAGGAGAATAGCACTGAAGATTAACCTGAACAATAAAGTGGATATAGGGAAAGAAAGAGAGGGGAAAAAAAGGAAAAATCAGGATAGACAGCAAGGAAAACACAATTTTTAAACCTTCATGCAAAGCTGTATGCCAAGTTTCTGATCAAAAATGACCACATCTGGACTTTTTAAACAGACATTTAGTCAGGCCCTAGGGTTTGGCACAGAATAAATTTTGAAGTAAGATTTTATGACATCTATTTTAAAATTCCTAATTAACTAGTCTACTTATTTTAAATGTGGCTGTATTTCCTAATTACTAAGGAAAATTCAATTTCACTACTCCTTTGAAGACATGCTGTAATTAAATGTGTCTTTTTTTCTTCTACTGTTATTCCTATTGCTGCAGCTGGTACTGTAGGACACAGGAAGTTTCCAGCTTTCTGAAACATCTTTGTGAAACAAAAGTAGCAATCAAAGTACAAAATTATGAAGAAATCACATTTAGGGCTCAAATTCTGAAAATTAGCCATCCTTTGCCCAGGCAAATGATTTGTCCCATCTGTTTGGTGTATGCTGCCAGTCAACACTAGCACAGTCCACAATGGTAATTACACAGTCTTATCACTCAGCTCATGGGGCACTACTGGCAGCAGCAAAGTTGCTAATGCTCCCTCTCATCTCCACAGCTTAACAAAACCATAAGCTCATTGCCATCTCAGCTTTAAGGAACAATGGTTTCACCAATCTACTAGTAATCTGAGAAAAAATTGCTCTGAAGCCCCCTGCACTCTTCAAAGAGGTTCCATCAGATTCATTTTTCCCAACACTTTGTTGAGATTCAAGAAGCAAAAACTGACAGCTACTTCATTAGTACATAAAGGCTAGAAACACTGATCACCTAATGTATAAACGTATTCTGAAGGATACTAAATTAAAATGAATGGAGTTCCACAGTGCTGCAGTTTTCTGAGTGTCTCCGAGGGTTATCTGCAGAGCAGCTAGACTTTGCACTTGAGGTTGGTTGTCTACTATGCTATATGAGGGGGGCCTTTTTATGCTTTCCCAAAGACACTGAATAACCAACCCTTTTAGCAGCTTGAGGGACTGGTGAAAGCATACACCTACATTCTTTCTAGTTTTCATTTTCCACTGACACTCTGGTGACAATCCTTGGAGGGAAAAAAAAAAAAAAGCAGCCTAAATCACAAGTTAAACACTCCAAATCCTAAGCTCAACAAATAAGTCTCTTTTTTCACAGCCTGCCTGCTGTGATCTGATGCTTCTGGCAATAGGAGGTTATTTTACCAACAAGAAACTAGAAGTTCTGGTAAACACTAAATACAGCAGGTACTTACTGTGAATTCTCCAGTGACGGCATCAAATCCCACATGAATGGTGTGTTCAAAGTCTGAAGGAAGAGAGATCTCAGGACGTTCCTTCTCTTTCTTTTTGTTGGCTAAAGACAAAATGTTAACAAGCACTTATTTTCTGAACAGCTTTTCATTTAAAACTTTTAACAGTCAAGTGTGCTCAAAACAGTGTTTTAAAAGTCAAAAGCAAATCAATTAACATCCATCCAACTTGAGAAACAGACCCAGGTTAAAACAATGCCAGTCTGTTAGCTCGTTAGGGAAGGTTTACAAGGTGCTATTTTATTTTGTTTTTCTTTCAGCCAGTGTGACTGCTACCAAAGCAAGCTTTCAGTAAAGTAGCCTTCTTAGGCTATCTCTAACCAGGATGATTTCTTTTTTCAGTTCTTTTTTTCACTGAGTTTTCATATCTAGAAACCAACTCCTGTTTGACTTTGTGGGTTTCTGAAGAAGTAAATCACACAAGACACGCCATGTGTATATGTGTCTGTTCTCCAACATGGTCTGAATCCATTTCAAAATCAACTAAATCAGAGGAAAGGCTTTCCTAGATAACCATTTTTTTCCTACAAGTTCTGTGAAAACCAGCAGCTCATGCTGTGACTCCTCTTCCAACTAAAAGGCTGAAACAGCAGCTCTCTTTCAGAAAAGACAGAATCTGCCCAGCAGAGCTACACAAAGAACGTAAGGAGGTCAGGTGCTATGGGAAGAGGCAGGACACTACTGCCTAAAAGGTTTATTTCAACTGTAGATGCACAGAAGGGTTCCACAGAGCCATCAGTGGCTTGCCAAAACAAGTTTTTAAACACTAGTGCTCAAACTCTAACTGAAAACACTGCACTCCAGTAGGGGAGGAACTGCAAAAGATTTCTGGTGCCCAGGCACAGCAGTCCTGACACACACCACAGCCTTGGAGAGAACACACCGCACCATATCCATCTTCACATTCCTCCTGTATGGTGAGCAAATGTAAGACAATAAAGTTCCTGCAGGTTCAGGCAGAAATACCCTGCCATGGTGTTTTCTACACAACAACAGTGCAACAGTGATGAACTATGGATTTAACACTGTGATGCTGCAAAGCACTGTACTAGATGAGAGCAGACATATTAATCAACTTCTGTTTTATAAGCAGGAGTCTCAAACATGTCACAGAATCTATGAAGCACTCACAGGCCAGCTGATACCCTGACCCACAAACCAACCCTGCAGTGAAAATACCTCAAGGGATTTGGCAAGCCAAGCTAAATTTCCTCCATTTATTATTTCACCCAACAAAATTAAGCTATAAATCTTACCCGACTTTTCCTTCACAGTCACATTTAAAATCATGACACTTGTATGTTCCCTAAGATTGCTCTGACTGGTAGTTAATTATATTTTTAATGTCGCTGATCATTTCCAGGACAGGTTGTTTCTGGGTCTTCCCTTTCCTGCATGCATTTTATACTGTGTCTCCTACTTAAGAAATGCTTCCTGGGAAAGGGATAATACCATCCTGCTAGCACTTAGGGGAATAAGTGATCCAAGTCTTTCCAGGAATTAAGCAAACTGGGAGAAACTATCATTTTGGCCTTTAAAAAGAATCAATTGAAAATTTTGTTCCCAGAGGGGACATTTGGGGGAACAGTCTGCAGAGGGAACTGGCCAGGTCTGCCTAAGAAATGGGCCCATCCAGTTACAGTCTTCGCATCCGGAAAGTTACAAGGATTGCCCGTGGCTGAGGGGAGGAATGGGACTGTCACTGTGCCTTCTACTGCCTGTAAGGAATTTTGAATGACAGACTGTCTCCAACTGCTCCACACAACCTCATGATGCCTCATGAATGGGGCAGCCAAGCAGCACAGGTAAGATGGAGCTCCAAGGGAATGACCACAGTTGCATAGTTCTGAGCTCTCTTTGGAGGGACACTGATGGACATTGAAGATAGAATCCCTCTGAAATCCAGCTGTACTTCTTGCTGCTGACCACAACCTCTGAGCCCAGCATTTCAGTCAGTTTTCAGTCTACCTCACTGTACACTTATCTATACTGTACTTCACTAGTCTGTCTGTGAGAATACTGTGGGAAGCTCTGCTCAACACGTTACTAAACAGAAGTAATAACCACTGCTCTCCCTTCACCACCAAGCCTGTCACTTCAAGGTAAAAGGCTGTCAGTACAGTTCAGCATGAATTCCCCTCCACAAATCCATGCTGACTATTCTTAACCACATTCTTATCCTTCATTTGCATGGAAATGGTTTCCAGGAGGATTTTCCCTACCACCTTCCCAAGGACCAAGGGGGGACTTGATGGCCTGCCTTTCCCCAGATCTTCCGTCTTAAAGACATTGACATTTGCTTTGTTTCCATCATCAGGAGCAACCCCCAGTGCCCCCAATCTTCCAAAGATAATCAAGAGTTGCCTTGCAATGACATCAGCCTTGCAGGTGCAGCCCATCAGTTCCCATAGCACTAGAAATTAAAGAAGATCCCTTCCTTTAAACCTGTAAATATGCTAACTCAAACACACTCCTTTCCACAAACGCACTTCAAAGAATGCAAATGAAATGCTGTTTGCTGCACGTTTAAAAGACTCTCTGGCTGCATCCACATCTAGCAGGTTATAGATCATGACATTCTGTGTCCACTTTCACTGCAAAAGGAACAAGCAAGAAGAGTCCTTGTTACTGTTCTTTGAACGTAAGTGCATTAAAAAACCTCAAAGTGTCAGGCCTATTGTCCTGTCACTTCTGTGAATGTATTCTCACAAAGACACATTCTCATCTCTGTATTTACTGCTAATGCAAAGCAAAATCCAAAGGAAAGGATTCCCAAGCTTAACTCTGTAATTATTTTTAAAAGGCAAGTTGCACAATGTGTGCACGTTTTAGTGTCTTTTCACAGACAAGAAAGTAACTGACTGGGTATTTCCTCCTCTTTTGAAATGTGTTTCTAGAGTAATTGGAACAGAAGGCTTTGGTACCATGTCCTGCAACTGAAACAGAAAGAAAACAGTGGCAGAAAGCAAACATGAAAACCAATGACCACCAGAAAGATTAGAGAAGGAGCTACCCATCCGCAATGCTGATACTTTACTTTTATCCCCTCCTCCTGGAAAGATGGAGCGCAGCCTGGCTTTCTTGTTCTTCTCCTCAGGGGCCATGGGAAGTGGTTTTGAGCTGTGGTTTAGTGCTGAAGAATCACGATTGTTGCTGTTCATTCTCAACGGTGGAGCTGGAGGTTTCTCTTCAATATCCAGACTATCGGACATCTTCAGCAGCCCTCACAGTCTCCTGCAAAGCACAACACAAAACATGCCTGTCATGGGAAGATGCCAAGGCTGGTGGCCTGGGCCGGAAGAGAAGAGGAAAAGCTTTCTAGTGGCCTTAGAAAATCTCTCTGTTAGAAATTTGCTCTGAATAAGGTTGCTGCTGGTTGTGGTAAATAAAACCAGTGGATAATTCCTAAAAAGCAAGGTATTACCCTTAAAATACAGGGTTTTCTTTATCCCTGTTAAATGTTTTTGCAGTTTTTATTTGTAACTATTTCCCTGTAGTTGTTTACAATCCAAATTTTCCTCTAAAACAGACTTCCAAAGTAAAAGTTAAACGACTTACTGAAACTACCTGGCATTGCAGTCAATTATTTTTTATTATGTAAGAAACAAGGTCCTCGTTGAGGGGATATGGGTAGTAAGCAACACCTTATAAAATTAACTAGTTTAAGACCCCAAAATAGAGCATAATTTCAGACAGATGAGAATTGATGTGGGCTATACTGCATCTTTTTAAAGGTTATGATTCTACAGGCACCTTGTCTTCCATCCCTTAAAATCAATGTGGCCCCTTTTACAGAAGGTACATGCACATCACTGTGAATGTGTTCTGGATCTCTCCTCATGCTTCACAGATAACACAAGCTATTGCCCTCATCAGCTACTCTCTTAAATTTAAAGGGAAGTAAGTTGTTTTTCAGCTATGGAAGCTGTAGGTTTTTTTCAGAAGTATCAATCAAACATGGTGACTGTCAGAGAGAGGTCCTGAAGCTCCACTGGCAACAGCAGCACTGCTCTTCCTTTAGTCAGGTAAAGCTGCAATGGTTGAGAGAGTTTTTGGGGTTGCATGGTTGGTCTTGGATTGCCTTGGTTTTTTTTTTTTTTTTTTTAGAATAGAGATTAACATTTTCAACAACCACATTTATTTTGATAAAACTGTAATTTTGCCAGATGTATGGCTGGTACAGTAATAGGAAATAATGAAATCCACATTGCCTTAACTGACATTACCTTACAAGTAAAAGCTAAACTGAAAACATTTAGAGCTGTTCACTTTAGACTGTTTTTCATTACATGGGCATTTTAGCCTTTGTTACCATTTTAAAATTGCCACACATAAAATGAACACTTTTTAAAATTAGTTGACTTACATTTTCCATTACATCTAAATTACATCCCAAAACATCAGTTTTGAGATTCAAAGCACCAGTCCAGTGAAAAGAACAACAAATGAAATATACCATCACACCTCTAGTTTGCAGCCATCCTTGAATATCTAGATTTCCGTGGGATCCCACGGACCCATCCCAAGGTCACACAGCTGAAAACTCTAGCAACAGCCAGGTCCCAATCCTCTCCCTAGTACAGACAGCATGGAGCAGCGATCCTGGAGATACTGATTCACAAACACACACTTGAAGCTGCTACTGACCCCAGTTGCCCACCTCCATCATGGGAGCAGTTTGAATGGGCACATTCCCAGCTGCCTTCAACTGGTTTGTGTTAAATTAGTGACCTGACCTTTTCTGGCATCTTTTCCCTGCAGCAAATTAGGGAGACCTCAAACAATTGCTCTGCTGGCAGATCAATGTGGTGTTCACCATTCAAAGAGGACGTCTACTCATAGGTTCACACTGTGTCAACTGCCAGACTTCCCCCACACCATGGAGTTGTTCACCTCCACCTGTCACTGCAGGCAACACTGAACCACAGGGAGGCATTGACCAGGTGTTGTTCTCTAGAGCTTTGCCTACAGGCCTAAAAGCACGGAAAAGATCACACACTTGTAACTAATAGAGTAATGTATTGGAGGCAACTGTCAGAGAGAAAGATGTGTTTGTCATTTGGACCACACCATCTGGGAAAGCACAAGTGATCCTTAAAAAAAACCATGGTCCCCAGCATGTGTCTGGCTCCCAAGAGAAGGCTCTGCCCACACAGTCCCACTGTCCATGTAAAGATGTGCTCTGGTGATGGAGGAACACAGCTCACCCTCCTGTTGAAGCACATACACAGGCAGTAACGTGCTTTGTATCACCCAGAAACAGCTGTAATTGTGCCCAGACCAGAGCTTGTGCCGGTCTAGTTTTCATGTGCAGACTAGCCTACTTACCTAGAGAACTAAATGCTTTGTAGATTGAGGTCAAACAGTTAATATTACTAATCTTCGTGATTTCCATCCTGAAATGGTTTTCCAGGTTTTCTAGTAAGGAAAGCGAGGGGGGAGCCAGTAATGAGAACTACAGTATGTTAACAGGGAGATACACAAGTACTGTGTTTGTCATCCTGGTGAAGGGAAAGTCCATGATGCCCAGGTTTCTCTGCAGAGTTCCCAGCTTACAAAGGCCAGCAGAGACATGTGGACACAGCTCCCTATTCCTCCAGCAATCCTCAAAGACCAGGTAGCTTATGCAAGCATGGCTTTTATTTTCTCTCTGAGCCACCTACAAATAGTTTTCCAGTGCTAAACACAGCCTTCAGTCCCAGGATGATCTGTGTGAAGCTGACCACAGGAGCACCAAGGCATGTTTTCAGCTTGTTATCAAAAGCAAGGCAGTTATTCTGAGAAGTCTATTATAGGCTACAATTTCAGTTGTCCCTCAGAATGGGATAACCGTATCTGTCACTGAATCTATTTGTAAACAATAAACCAGTCTGCTGAAATAGGCCCTCCCTTGGGATTTCATCCCACAAAGAATACTATTAATGGTTTCTGGCCAATTTGCCTATGATGTAATTATTTCCAAGATTTTGAAAGAAACACTATATTTTGTTCAGAGCTGTTTCAGCTCAGTTTCAACAACTGTACAAAGCTCTTTTATTCACTTCTAAATGAGGGGAAAAAAAAGAGGGGGGAAGATAGCCTAGAAGAATTAACAGTTGATAGTAACTTTCTAAAGCTGGTCTAAATCAAGACTAAGGCAAACCACAAAGCAATACACACCAAGAGACTTAAAATTTATCGTTTTTCTGATCAGAGGAATCTATCTGCTCTTCCATTCATTCTAATTTAGAGATTTTTCATGTGCCACTGCATCACGATGAAAGAACGTACACTATCACATAAGACACCATATTTTAAGCGCTTTGTACTGACTTACTCCAATGCAAACTTAGAGAAAACCTGTAATGAATGGAGGAGCAAGAAGATGTATTCAGCTGGGAAAACTCTCAGGTTTACATTGCAGAGACCTGTCAGCAGCAGATAGTTCAAGTTATACTCTATTCTGGGGCCAGGTTTTCCTGCCATTATAACAAGTCCTTGGTCCTGCTTGTCTAGTTCTGACGAACTCCATCAAAACCCACTTTCTGTCTATTGGAAATTATTATGGCATATCCATATATTCAGTTCATCAAATTCTGGTGTTATTTCTCTTTTTTTCTTTAGACTTTTTTCATTGTTTGGGAGTTTTGGGATGTGGAGTTTCTTTGGTAGGTTTGTGTTGGTTTGTTTTTGTTGGTTTGTAGGCTGAAATACAGCTACTAGAGTTTGACGACACCCCACCTGGGCCATGAGAGCCACCCAGGCTGTCAGTAGGGACAGCTTCTGGAGAGGCCAGCTGGTGCTCACCTAGAGGATAGAGTGCACAATCAACAGGATTTTCTTCATCTCAGTCCCCAAGGACCCCATTAGTGCAACCAAGGCAGTGCTGGTAACCCTTTTAAAAGAAATTTGTAAGATAATCACTCTTGTGCAACAAAGAGGACAGGTCATCTACTTCCAGGGAAAATCTTGTCATTGCCCATCAACTTTAAGGAAGCATTTAAAGAGACAGACTGCTGTACCAAAATACAACAGTGTATTTGAGTGTGTTAGCTAGAGTTTCCCAGCGAAATGGCAAAAGCTAAAATTTAATTCTCACCCAGGTCAGCTGCTTCTACATAACTATTGCAGGGTTACAGAAGATGATCCAACATCTATTTCCTTCCTTCTTACATCTTCCAATCACCAGTTTTGTTAAGTGAGAAGACAATCACTGACTTTAAATATTTGGCACTGAGCCTCTCTGTGACTCAATTCCCCCTTTGCAAAAGCCTGTCTTGTAATAATTCTGCATCTAGTCCTTGACAAGCTAGGGAGGAGAGGAAGAAAGCTATTTGAAGCGCTCAAATGTCTTCAAAACATAATATACACACAAAAGATTTGTTCTATTCAGTTCAAGTTCAGAGCAGAATCCCACGCTGGGCCTTGATCTCAGTAAGCTCTTCACCCCTGTGTATCTAGAGAACACTGTGGATAGATCTTGAATAGCTTTCTTAGGTTAGCCCTGCTATTTCAAAGTCTGCATCATTCAAACATGACTGGTTCCAATTAAAACTCACAAATAGTATCCTGTTAGCAAAGACTGGTGTTCATTTTCAAAGCCTCAGAGATACTACTGCAGCTTATGATGCAGCAAAACTGTCGCCAAGATCACTTGACTGGAAGGAACCATGCCAATTTTCAGGCAGTAGCTTTGCAAATGTAACTTGAAGATACAAGGCTCACTCTTTGTTTATAAACAGACTTCCTGTAAAAAGATATTGTTACTTAGTTGTATGGGCCAAATTTTGCTCCCAGTAACACTTATCCATTTCAAAAAATCAATGGTGATGTAACTGAGAAGGATTCTCTCTAGATACTGAGTACTGAGACACTCTGTCCAGGTATTTACAAAGTACATCCCAGCCCAGTTCAGAACTGTATCTGCTCTTCTACATTTGCATGTTTACTTGCAGTTTTCTTACAGCTCTTTTAAAGGGCAGTGAGTTGGACAGAACAGATACAGTGACGATTTCACTACTTTTGTGGAAAACGTTTACTGCCTTCTCTCTAATACTTGGGTAAGTTAAAATACAATACTGAGGCCTTTTTGATAAAAAATGGCCATATTCAGCATCAGCTGAAGCAGAGACAACTCTGTCTGGGTACTCAGGGTCTGTAACAGCCCTAGGGCAGTGTGTGCTGAGCTGCTTTCACCCTCAGACTGCACGCCAGGTGCCTGCAGTCTGTGAGCAAGTGTGTGGGGCTGGCTCAACAAGCAGAGCATACACAGCCAAGGTGCCACTTGGTGCGAAGACATCTTTTCTAGGACTTCCCCCACATGCATGTGTTGCAAAACAACTACTGCATCCCTTTTTTATACAACCCTGAAAAAAAGGCTGCATTCACACAAACTACAGAAGGAATTATAACCCTAGAAACAACTAGAATGCTTCCCTTTCATATTGCCTTTCATACAACTGCATCAAAGCACAATACAAACATTTGCCAATTAAACTTCCTCATTCCCTTCACAGCCAGGTAAACATGCTTTGAGCTGAACAAATCACTCAAGCTGAGTAATTTCTTTGATGAATGTACTCTCTACTCCTGTTTGCAAACACCCTGTAAGCAGCTTATGATTTCCTCCAATACATTAATTTATTCAGAAATTATCCTCTGTATTTGCAACTTGCAACTTTTGGCCTCTGAACTAGCGGTTCATAAGAAGTTCTCTGTGTGGAAGGGATAGCATGAATTCAGGTTGTATCCCAGTAAAACTACTTGGGTCTCAAGTACTGGAAATAGAAACATCCACTCTGAGATGGGATAAATAAACTTCTGTTCGGAATTGCAGCATTACGAGTCTTACATAGTGACTTACTTATATTGGTTTAAAATTCCCTCTTGACAGTGCACTTGCAGCAATAATGAATACAGAATGTCAAAGAATACAGAAGGTATATTAATGCAGTAGTCATGAATTTAATGGTTTTGGCTAAACATTTCTTCAAATTTGAAAGATTATGCCCTTGGTCTGGACCTTGAATCACCCAGTCTAATTGCTAGGAGTTGGTAACGAAACAGTGGAGCTTGTCACAACTGATGGAAATAACCTAAAAATATACTTTCCCCCTTGCTTAATTAGCATTCTCAGCATTTCTCAGTTCATGGCCCTCAAGGATCCATCTCCCCTTTTCAAACACATAACCTACCTAACAACACTTAATTCCACAACTCTTCAACTTTTTCTCTGCACACTGCCACAGGCAACACTTTACAAAATATATCTGGCTTTCATCTCTGAATACCCCTCAGTGCACCCGCTTTACACACCTCTTCCCACATCGTGAAACTGCTGCTCTGCAGACCCCTAGAACCCCGTACCTGCTCCAACTAAAAAGGTTTCACGGCTCCTCATACAGGATCACTCTTCCAAGTGCAGCTAGTACTGGGACTTGCCCAGGTTTTCTCACGTTCCCCTTCTGTAGAAAGCTGTGGCTGTTCATGCTGTGGCCCCAAAAAAGCAAAACAGAAGTACTTTTGCATAGTAAAGCCAGCAATGTTTAAAATTAGGTGTGTACTTAAAGGCTGTGCTTAACCAGTGCCTAATGTGAGATAACATGAACAAGGATGCTAAGGCTTCAGCATAGCTGCAAGACACTGTGAAAGAAAAACTGGAGAGAGTTCCTCTCCACCCTGCTGGGGAACACCCCTACTCCAATATATTTTCTTTGTGGCTGTTTTTTGATTACATGAAAACAAAAGCAATCCATTCAAATTGTGCTCCTGCTGGAATCCTGGCCACTTACTAGACCACTTGAGCTTTAGGATGGTTACATGACCTGGGAGGGGAAGAAGTGTATTTATAAAGGGTGAACAGCAGAGAGAGATTTTCCCATTAAAGCTTGTCTAGGTATTCAGTAACACATCATCACAGCACAGCAAGGAAAGGAAGCACATTCCTACGTGTTACATCATGTGAGCACCTCTCTCAGCATTGTAAAGTGGCAACTATTTTGATGGAAAAAGTGACTTTACTTCTTATGACAAAGGTTATGGACATATCCTGATGATGCAGAAAAGCCAGCTGGATCACGAGGATGCTTCTGCCACCCAGAGAGAGCAAGGGAAGAGCTTCCTCTCTCCTGACTGCCTTGGGAAGAGCCACCAGCACCTCCACCCACTCATACCCAAACCCAGACAGCTACATAGGTATTTCTGTCATGTGTTTTTCAATCATGGTTTGAAATAAAAAGGTTGTGCTCTAAGCTACTGAATCTGGAGACGTGCCAAGACTGACAGAGCAATGGACACTCCAGAAGCAGCTAAAGGAGAAAAAAAGTGAAGGATACCACAGACCATTTTTTAATTAATGTACTGGGAAACATTTCTCTGGGATAGATAAGAAACTATGAAAAAGTACCTAGAAAAGACATTTATATGCAAGAGGAAAACAAAAAACCCCACTCCCTCCTGTTTTGCTTTTTATTTACACAGCTGAAGGGCTCCACAAAAGTAGAAAAGATGTCTCAGAATCAACTATGCCTCTCAAATATCCCACATTCCACAGGATTGCATCCTTTGCCCTTGTCTACACATGAAAGAGACTGTGTGAAATGAAATGCAGATTCAAACCACTGCAGATAGACTGACATAATTCTCCATATGGACCTTATTATTCCTTGTTCAGAGCTTAGGCCTCAGGTTCACTTTTGTTCTCTAGGAGGACTCAAATGTAAACAAAGAAAAGCTACTTGATGGAGACACCAACATCACAACTGCCTCCATAAAAATTTCATTACCTTAATTCAGATTAAAAACTACCAAGACAAATGATTTGATTTCTAATCTGAATCAGCAACTTGGAGCTAATCCTGAAGCACTGTCCAAGATCAGGCATGAGATACCAGCCCTTACGGCAAGTTACAGACAATTAAAATGGACCAGTCTGATTCCAACCCACCTGAAGGGCAGCAATCTCTCGCCACAGGAGGGCTCTGTAACAAGTTGCTGGATCTTTGGCAGGTTCAAGCTGAATGCTTGTGGCTCACTTATTTCATCAGTCAAAGCCCCAGAGTGGTCCAGGAAACCCAAATTTGGGCCTGCTCCTGGAAACAGTAAAGAGCACAATTGCATCTTGATCTGCCAGGGTTAGAACAATACTCATATTCATACGGTGGGAAGCAGACTCTCATTACATTCAAAGATCCCAACAGTTGCAACTCAGGACAAAAAATCGACCTTCTCTCATCTTTTCTGGTAAAGGCATGTTGAAGGTGAATCTACATTAGCCTAGTAGAGGTAACAGGCTACCCCACATGCCCCACCAGTATGTGAGAAATGCCCAGGAAAAATCATGCTGTGATATTGCATCAACGCAAATGTTTTCTTTTACACATCCTGCATGTCCCTTTCTGCAGAAGATAAAAAGCTCCGTTTACACTGATGTATCTGGAATCTCATAAGGGCCACGTCATCATCTCATGCTGTCAGGAATACTCTGCTTTCTTCTGTCAACACAGCTTCAGGATGTGCAGGTTGAACTGCTAGTTCTTCTGCTAGCCTTTCACAGCTTGTGAGTCTCTCTACCATGTTCTCCTGCCTCTTATCTGCTCTTCCCCACTTATTGTGCCTCTCCAGTGTGTATCCATTTGGGTGTAAGGCTTGTCTCCAAGTTCCATGCACAGGACCACACAGCAGGCTCTGTCTACATTCTCAGCACAGCAATATTCACCAACCAACCTCACAGAATCATCTTTAAATGGACCCAAAGCATCCCAAGACAGACACCTCATGTTTTACTCACACAGCCTGTCATGCTGCAGCACAGGAAAGGCTGACAGCACAACAAACCACCAGCACAGGAGCTTGAATTTGGCCACTCACAAATCAGACTTCTGATCCACAGCTACATCCAGACTAAAAACCAGCAATCAGGGCAAAGCAATCAGAGGGCTTGGCAGATGTAAGCTTCCTCCCATCACTGTTCTCTCTCTTACCTTGTGAACAGTATCAAAGGAAACCTCTTCTTGCTTGGACTTCCATAATAAAAACTAGATATATAAGAGTCCCTTAGTTCATATTTTTGGAGACTCTAAACTCCCTCTGAACTCCAGCTGGTGCACTAAAGCTGCCTTTAATAAAACACTTGGCACCTTGCCAATTACGTTTTTCATTTTGTTTACATTAAAAAGTAATTAAAAGTTTGGAAGAAGAAGGAAGGGTAAAAAAGAATAAAGGACCAGTTTCCCTAGTTTCTCTGCAGATGTTGCTGCTCTCTCTGCTTTTCCAGTTTATTCTCTACTTGACACACCTCCAGAAGGTGTGCCATGATAAACATGACCTGTTGAACGCCCAGCCTAGCACCACTCCAGCCCACTAACAGTGCTCGCCAGATAAAGAGCCATGGCCCTTTGCCCTGCAATGGTCCCCCACAGGCAGGGCAAGAGCTAGTTTTGCCTCGAGATGTGTGCAGCTCTCCAGCAAGGTAACAAGAGAGAAGGTAGTCTGTCCTAACTACAACTACATGCTGATGAACCACTGGCCCATGCTCAGCAGACACATGCAGACCAAGACAACAATCACCACAGAAATCTGGAAGAGACAAGGAAGCAGCAATAGAGTGCAATAATTGAAACTTATACAGTTGCCATTTCTAGCACCTTCTGGTCACCTTTTAGCTCATTTTGCCTTTGCAATCCTTAGCTGAGAAACTTGCTGTAGTAAACAAGACTAAATCCCAGTACCAGAGGATGAATCTGACAGGTAGTAAAAGACTGACCTCAAGGCCACCCCAGGACTGCCAGGCAGAGTTGGGAGACAAACCACACTGCAAGAAGCAAAAATAAAGGGCAGGGAATCCTCTGGATATAGCTACTGGGGCTGGATAATGACCACTAAAAAGGAGAGCATGGGATGGACTTGAAACCTCCAAATCCCAGAAGCAGAGATCAACACAATGCAAGAAGATTTGCTGTATCAATCTTCTCAATTCATTATGGCATGTTTGGAAGGACACAGCTCTTACCTCCAAGGAAGGAAAGGGCAAAGCCCAGGCTGCCACATGCCTTTCATGTAGGAGGTGAATATGGTCCAGATCTCACATCAACTCTTTAGAACACTAGGGCAGGAAGGCATCATATCCCCACTTACTTCCTCAGGGAAAACATTTTGCCTTTTATTCTTTGCCAGGCCTTTTATTTACAGCTGACTAACTTCATATATCTAATATTCACCTGCTACGTTAGTGATCTTATTGTGCATAATGGCATATCTACCTTAGGGGTATTATGGATCTGGAGCAGGCAGAGGGGAGAAATGGAGCAGTCATTGCATGTACTTATTCATTTCTAGTTGCCAGCAAGACCTTGGATTCAGAGCAGCAGGATGGGAAGATTAGGAGAACATATGTACAAATGCTATTCTTAAATAGGTCAGGGAAGAAATGACATCTATGTGCAGAAAGCAAAACAAGATCCACACACAGTTACCACAATGGTATGATATTTTTAAACTGCTTAAACAGGGACTCAGCATTTAAACGCTTCATTGCTCAAAAAACAATCTTCTGCTCCAGAGTAGTGGAGCAGTGGAGATTCCTTCCTGCCTGACTTCACATATACAACAGGAAAACAGTTCACTGTGCTCTTATGACCTAAATGAAAAAATAAAGGTGTTTGGATATCTAGTCACAATTCCTCTGCACTTGTCCATAGCCTCCTACAGAGAGTCTGCAACCACCAAAGTAAGAACAGTAGACTTGGAATGGGACAAAAAGCCCCCAGTGGTGGTGGCATCCAGGACACCTCAGTCTCAGTCCCTGTATGGAAGAATGCTTGAGCCAGCAGAGACTATTCTGGTTTTAGAAATTGCACATGCTACAAAATCTTAGTTAGAGCAACCAACAGGTATTCAGACTCCTAGGATTCATTCCTGTTTCCCGCAAATTTTTGCTAGGACAAACCACTGAACTTCTCTGTCTAGCCACTGATGCCTTGTCTACAGAATGTGGGAGTACTTTTCCAAGTCACTGGTGCAAAAGGACACAAAGTTTCTTAAATAAGCAGACAAGAGCTAAGACATTTCCATTGCCAACACATCAGGGTACTCTCATCTCAAAATCCCTGTCCAAAATTTGCGGAGCCATCTGCAACAGCTTCTGTAAAACGGAACTGCCTCCATTGCTCAGTGAGTGTTTCTAAAGCAGCCTTAGATCCTACTGCAAATTAGTACGAATTAGTACAAAAATACCAATTCCCAGAGCAGCAGCTGACACATGCAATCTTGTATCAGGTCAAAGGCGCACCAAAAATAAGAAACTGAAACCATCAAAATGCACAGAAACAAGTAAATAAAAGAGTAGGGGAAGAGGAAAGAGGACAACAGGACCCAAAATAGATTCATTGTGCCACACACACATCAGATTTATAGCACAAAAGCTTTGCAAAGAAACTTGCTCTTAAAACAGTCCATCAACATTTACTCTGCAGCTGGCTGAAGTCTACTACTGTCTGACACCCTTACTTATTATTTACAACTTCAGGCTTTAAAGAAAACTGAAGTACACTGAGGCTTTCATGAGGCACAAAATGATAGCTCCATTGTTACATGTTCTAGAAGAAGAAAAGCAGGCTGAGAAATGGGAAGGACATCAGAGAAGCAGCACCCAAGGAGAAAAGCTGCCCAAGAAAACCTTAACAGCTCCTCTGCCTGTCTATTCCTCAGTCAAAACAAACAAGGGCAAAGGGTCTGGAGGTGCACTGCTGTCCCAGGCACAGATGCCAGGAGGGACAAAAAGCCTCCTGAGCCTGCGTGAGGCCACTGACACAGTCAGTGAGGACCAATCCAGCTGCAGTGACAGCACTGTGTCTGAGCTGTGTCTGACACAGCACCAAGGCACAGACGGCTCGTGACCCTCCAGCTTGGCGAACACACACAGGATGTGAGCATAGGATGAGAGGTCTCCATGCTCGCTTCATATAGAACCACAGCTGGAACCTTCAATAGGCTGGTGCCCCAACGTGTCCCACTCCCAGTATGGACAAACTCCAGGTGATTTTTGGAACTGTAAAGAGCATTTCCATGAGCACAGAGACAGCAGTAAATCTGCTGCTCCTCAGCAAAAACTGCCACCTCAAATGGTTACCTGACTACAAGATGCCCACATCCACATTGAACAGCACAGGCATATTCCTTTCCAGACCCCATTCCAGTAGAAGCAATGGGATACACTACCAGTCTCCAGGCTCACAGAACCCTCTGCCTTGTGACAGACTAGTGCATGGAGCTGGTCTTCACCAGGGAAGAGGAGCAGGGATCTGGCTCTTGTTTTTTTTCCTTGCAGAACATATTGATAGGCAGAGCCATGTGCTAAGGGTACAAGCATGGGACACCTGCCACAGACTTCACAAATAACCTCAGACAACTTACTCACTGTCTGTGTGTGTTCTTTCTGGTTCTATGAGGAACTTGGCTCTTTCCCTTGCTGTTAATGTAGGTAAGAGGCTACTTTTATTTTGCCACATCTATCAGACTTTTAAAGAACCCAATAAAGAGCCAGGTTAGTTTCAGAAACCTGACAGCAATCATGTTGTTAGTCAGCACACAGTACATGCAATACAGCATCAACAAACTGGATAGCAAATGAAGAAGAGAAAAAGAAAAACAAAATACCTCCAATGAAGTGAGAAAATAGGAAGTACTGGGGGGTGATAGCAAACCTCTGGAAATGCTGGATTGCTAGGATTAATATGTCAACAGAAGTGAGAACAGAGCTTTACACTGATCCATCCTCGAGCAGGAAAAGACAAGAAAACAGGAGGTAAAATAATTTTAATAAGTGGCAGAAAATGATGAGAAATGAGCAAGATGCTGTTGCCAGGGTCAGTATATATAAAAACTCCAACCCAGAACAGCTGACATATTGTTTGATCTCAGACAAAATGAACCTGTCTAAAGGCACTATTGTTTAGGCACAATCATGAAGCAAAGATTAAATGCTCTGGTTACAAAGCTGTGTATCACCACGTCTGTGTGTGACTGAAGGGATACCAGAGGTCCCTCAGTGAAATGGGTGACAGCCCCAGACAGGCACTGTTCCAGGTGAGAT